TATATATATATATATATATATATATATATATATATATATATATATATACAGACTGAAAGACCATATCAAATATAATAATCCGATACTGACATTGCTTTCAAATGAAAATTAAATATCAGTTCCTCAAGTCAATTGCAAAGTCACTTTCGCAAGCAAAATATATAGGACATCTTTCCGAGACTTTCTAGTCTTTCTAGACTTTCTCAATACTGTTTTGAATCGCTGGCAACCCTGATTGCGCTAGGTGGTGGCGGAGTTAAAAAAAAAACGCCTAAACGTACATTCAAGTAACGACTTTTTTAATTTCCACGAATTGTTCTTTAATTGGTATTTGGTGCGAATGCGTATTTATGCCTAAAATGGGAATTATCGTACATTTTAGGCAACGCAAGGAGACCTATGGACATCACTATAGTCCTCCCTGACAATGCAGAGGGTTTGGTCAAAGCATCAGAATGGTTGCCAGAGTTACTGCGAGGCATCAGCTGGGATCATGCCCATATTCGCAAGCTGTACGTTCCAGAGATTGATTATTCAATCGTAGCTCTCGACCGGTTGAATGCGAAACATTTTGGCTTGAATACACTAAAGTTATTCCGAGAGGGTGCCGAAATGTCCGTTCTTGGGGAAGAGTCCGGCAACACCTGGGTTTTTGATCTCGTACACCAATCCTTGTTCAAATTGGATGACGGACGGCGCAATGAACGCGTTATCACATCATATAAGATCTATTACCTGCCCGAGTTCAAACTCAACCGACCGTTCTTCTTTTTCTTGACAGCTTACCCACGAAACATAGTGTTTCTGGGTAGGGTTGAGGACCCAGAGCAGATTGTGTCAAGTGGACAGACACGAACCAGTCAACCAGAAGAGCTGGAATTGGCGACCACAGTTGGCAGAAGTATCAACGAACCTGCGCCTGCGCACTCCGCTGAGGTTGTTCGCACTCTCAGCGATTTGAAGGTCATATGTATTGAGCTCCTTACTTGGGGCTTTTTCTTTCTTATTTAGACACTTTTTTTTCGGCGGGAGTATTTGGCACAGTTTTCGTATATGTGGCGCAATATTTAGTGTCGGGTTTGTGTTTCTTTTATTAACCGAAAGCCTAGCAGTTCACTGCCTTGGAAGCGATCGAGCTGTACGTATGTTAGTGAAGTCAGATATGAACTTGGTGGCTCCCAAATGTTTTTGCCTCTTGTACCCATATTTATCGTTTGGTTTTTAGTATAACTTTATAACTATATGTTGATTCCATTTTAGTATCCACGTATGCATGTTAACTGCATGATGCATATTTACCGGGTATATATTTAAAATTTACAATTATTTCTTTCGAAATTGTACAAATGCATCGTGCTGCAGGTAAAGAACATACTGATATCCGTGCAAACGCATGCATTGGCACGTGAATAAATTGAACTGATATGCATAAGACTTGGCATATCCCTTTGGCTCCACTACCACCAATTCTTGAGGAACAGATTTTCTTTGCTATCATCTGAAATGTATGAACTTTGCCTAACATGTAACTGGAATCTTCGCACAGCTCAACAATTTTCCCGGGCACAATGTGTCCCAGTTCAAGGGGGTTGAAATCCTGGCATTTTGTCCTTTTCACATGCGGTACGCCTCAAAAAATATGAGTAAATACATATCCTGGCTCTGTTCGTCCCAAATGTGCCCATGAAATATAACACGTACTGAGCTTACTTATGTCCTGATTTGGTGAGCCTTTCGATGCACACTTTAAAGTGTACTGTGCGTAAGGCCCCTATTTCACACAGACCACGAATCCCACGAATCGCCAGGAATTGACAATTTTCAGGATTCGTGAGATTTTGCCAATTTTCTGGTCTACTTCGACACGCTCTACGATTCGGTTACGATACAGGTGCGATAGTGTTACGAATATTCGTGAGATTCGGCTGGAATCGCACGAATATTGACCAGAAATTCACTACGATTTTTTTGGAATCGGGAGTTCGTGGCCAAAACTTTGAACAGCTCAAAATTTTTGCCACGAATTCCCGATTGATCAGGAATTGCAAGAACTGACTACGATTATATACGAATCTGTTAAGAACTTCACGAACTGATTACGATTCAACCACGAATCCTGAAATTTTCAATTCCTGGCGATTCGTGGGATTCGTGGTCTGTGTGAAATAGGGGCATAAGAGACAAAATGCCAGGATATGCAATTTTGGACCTACTCAACGAACTTCTGCCTTGGGCGTTCCACCCCCTTGGAGGTATGTCAACTGTATCTTTACATTCCGCATAGGTTTTGTTGTTTTGCAGCTACTATATATCGTGTAATTGATAGCACTGTAAGAGCGTATTCAGAACAGCGGACTAACTGATCCGCGAATTAAATATGGCGTCTCACTAAAAAGGTTGGCGCCGTTTAGATACTGAATAGATTCCACAAGGGGAATACGCAACAAACAATCAAGTGGTTCGGCCATATTTGGTCCGCGGATGTGTTAGTTCTGAATGTGCTGTTCTGACTGCGTTCTAAATTGTACAGCACGTCAGTTTTCCAAAAGATCTTTATGCATGCTAAATCATAAGCAGCGCTTTCAAATGAGGTGAGGGGTTCTTATCACGTAAATTACCCACTTACCCACTTGGTTGTTCAACTTCAGCAATGGTATAAAACAGACCGGATTTGGTTTATAGCAGACCTTTTTCCCTCCAACGAGGCCGTTGGGCCTGTGAAGCAAGTTAACAAATACACAATTAAGTCGCCAACAAGAGCAGTACTTCTCGGCATATCTAACTTAGCAGCTCTCTTCATAGGCAGAGTACCGTGTTGGCAAATTAAATTGGAAGTATTAGATACAACTGTCTTTATTTTTTCATTTTTGTATGTGTGTGGGCGGAGGAGGATGCACGTATTACCAAGAAGAAATACAGCAACATGAACATGACATTGTAGAATCGAGTACTTTATTGTGAAGATGTGTAAATGCATTTATATATATATATATATATTCTAAATATAATGGCAGTAAATATACAATGCTAAATGTTAATATATATCATTTTATATATATATATCACGTAAGCTGTGAGAATAGATGTTTCTTTTCAAATACCATGCCTTTTCTTTCTCATTACGATTTTGTAACTGTTAGATTAAATATATGGTAATTATTATAACCCATTCAGGCTTCTTAACAGAGTAACAAACAAGTTTTATATTGTAAACAATATATGTTTTGCTGTAAAGCAACTTCATGCAGTTTCTAATTCTCGTCTTCTCTGAAAGCTCATAAATTAAGCATCGTCTTCATAACGAACAAAACGTTCAACCGTTGAATAAAAACTAAACAATATCATTAACTGAAAGACATGTCAAATCTGCAACAAAATACCAAACAAAGGGAAACATCTGGAGGAAAAAGGTGGTTCCTTTTTAATAACGACAGAGCTGCCCAATACAATCTAGTCACGTGGCTCCATCTACAGTCTGAAAAATTATCTACAGTAGTGCCATCTATTGGCAATTTGCATTAACATACATGGTCCCTTTTATTTGCATCTTGTAGTACTGTATTTAGAATAGCAACACTACACCACATACAAATACATAGCCAGCAACTGTCATCTAAGGGAAATTTTGTAAATTTAAACATGTACCTACTAACAAATCAATTAAAGAGATATTTTTGAAATTGACACTTTCATCATTTTTTTCTGGCAACTATTTGCCCAATGCATAAAGAGATTTTTTCTTCTAAGGAATGTTCTCTGTTGACATGATGAGCAAAACTCTTGGAATGAAGTCATCTGAACCTGTAAACTTACCTACTTCTACTGGGTACTCAGCAAAGAAGAATAAAAATCCAAAAGCAAATGGGATTAAAAAAACGATGATCATCACAACCCTAACTGATTCTATGAAAAAAGAGAAAAAGAAACTCATCACAGGCAAAAATAATGAGATATACCATATTGCTGAAAAATGAGGGTACATGTACCTAGGATCCAGAGCACTTAGTTGAATATCCACCAAAATAATCCTTTTTAAGCCAAGCTCTCAGGTGCATACTACATGAACGTATTGGTACCCTACATTCCACCATTTTGAATCAATATCCTTAACAAATATGCATAAAGAACAAATATTCAGCAAAGTGCACTTTTCAAATAAATGATATGCTGCAATATATACCATGGTAACTATCATCTTTTGTCTAGCAGGATTTCCTTTCGATAACAATAAAAAGGATTCAAAATAAATGATATTTCTTCCGGGGGAAATCACGAATCCTTTTAGACGTGCCTTACAGGCAGTTCTGCCCAAAGTCCAGATCACTATTGAGATGGAAATGAGTAAATATCAAGCTAAACATTCCCATTTGGTGAAATGTTTGCCTTAATTCTCTGATATTCACCAAGCATACTGTTTGTGCTAATCTGACTGTTTAAATGTGCAGGCGTTATTAGTAAGAATTCACTTCTAATAAATTAATTAGGTATAGGTATGTTGACTTGGGGGAAGTACAGGTTATGCTGTACTTCACTGTGGGTTTATGGTGACAACCTTCTGTGTCTAGACTCTACCATGACAAAGTTTCTTGATTGTTTTCATTTCTGTCTATCAACAAATCAAGACATACTTTTACTAGTGCTCGCATTGCTTTCTCCCTTCCATTAAATTAATAAAAAAAAAAAAAAAAAAAAAAAGTTAAATAAAATCCAGGATATACAATGTATAATAACTTTTCATGTCTATACTAAACAGATTATGATATATTAGAATACAAATATATTTTAATGACAATGAGAATGTTTTATTGCTACATGCATCTATCCTATCATGCACTCAAAAAATTTCAACTTTCAATTTAAGTTTTTCCATTTTTTTCTTTCGCTTTTTAGACCATCTATCCCATAATGTGCTATATGAATATCCCAGAATGCTGTTGTGTCCATGGTATCTAACTGATCTGACCTTTTTTTTTTGTTCTTCCTTTACATGAATTGCATTCCAAGACAGAATGAAGAAATATCCACATCTATCCATAGTATATATTTCATATTTACAGAAACTGTAAATTATCACGCCGTTAATATCAAAACACCATTTCATTTCTGTTTCAATGGTTATCATGGTTTTGGTGAAAAACCACACATTTGCCTGTCATTTAAGTTAATTAAATGGATTCAGTGTATAAATAAATGCTAACTTCTCAACGCATCCCATAATGTTCAGGTCATGTGACAAATAATTTTTGGTCATGTGACAAATGATGTTCTGGTCATGTGACAGTTATTTCCTCATGGTCCGCTGTCTGTTCATGGTGGTCAACATGAGGCTGATGTACGAGGTAAGCAGGTCATCCATTTTGTAGCCCTAAAATATGAACAGAAACAAACACATTCAGGTTGTAGTGTTCACAAATATAATTCCCAGACATGTAAATTAATTTGATTAGAGTCGATTGCTTGTGCACTCGACTCGTTTTATGGCCTTATCTGTAGTTATGTAACTTCAGTGGACGTGTGCAATTTGAATAATTAAAATTAGTATGTACCGCCAAATAATGCAGCACAGAATCCACCTTGTGATAAGAAATATGTATAAAAGATGTCTAGAATTAAGATCGGGGGATCAGAAGGAAGAAGACTCGAAGGAGACCGCTCGACGGAGCCATGGGAGACGGCCTAGAGCTTGGAGATTTCATGTAGATGATGTAGTTAGACAGAGTCAACCAATAAACCATTAAACTGGTCATTATGTGGACTTGGGTTTTCTTTGCGCGACCTTACGTAAATCTGACACGAACTGTGGAATCTTTGGATCGCGTTATCCATTAAGTTAGACAAAAACGTAATGTCCTATTTCGAGCCCACCCTTGAATTAAGCGTTCAAAATTATATAAGTTTAGGACATTAATCTCATATGTATATGTAAAGGTACATAACAAGGTACTGCATAAAAATGTACAAGTTGTAAAAGTCTTTCAAATTATAACTTTAATATAAGGTTGTCTTATTTCAGGGCTGGAACTACCATTTAGTTAAAAAGTCGGAAAATATGGATTAGAAGACAAGAAGACTGCCTAGGCCAACATTTTTTGGCTCCAAAAAAGTAAAAATCTGTTGACAGTCAGAAAAATATCATTCCTGTTGAATAAATATTAACTTTTTTTTCTTCCATCAAAAAATAACATTATGAAGTAACTTATTACGTTAAATGACAGGAGGGATTCCTGTGAAACTAAAAGTAAAAGCAACATATTTCATGTAATTAAGGCAAAAAATTGGACACCTTTGTTCACAAAACTCACCAATGATGTTTCACATAACAGTTTGCTTCCCCTAACAAGATTGCCTATAGTCATGTGAAAGTAGGTGTTCCCACTGCTCCAGTTGGAGATCTTGGTGAATGGGTGAGTGGCCAGAATATCCTGGAAGATATCCATGGTTTTATTGTCAATATTTGATATAGCAGAATGTGTCTTTTATATGTATTAATGCTAGTCTTAATAATTCATTTTGTAACTGATAGTAGTTTAGACAGCTCATTTAAATGTGAACGTATTTAAACATTTAAGGACCAAGTAATTCAAATGATTACTTTTCACAAAAGTTATTATTATGATGAACAATGAATCTTAAATTATCAAAAAAAAAAAAAAAAAAAAAAAAAACTGAGCACATTAAATAATATCAATAATATACTTTGAAAACATATTCAAATAATTGTACAATAATTCACAATATGTATAGCTATTAAAAATCCTACCTTTGACTGTGGATGAATGAGGTTGACTCCATGTTTGTTAATGGCTATCAGAAGAATATCTGGATAGTTTGGCTCAGTGGTTTGCTGAGAAAATGAGAAAAAAAAAGAAATTAATCAAAATCTTACTTCTAAAAAGTTTTAAAACATAATCTAAACACAAAACCTGAAAAAAAAATTGATCAGAAAATCCTGAATAGCATAATAGGTTTGAGTTAGAGAGTCAATTCTATTACCAGCCAGAAATATCAATCTTAAAAACATAATAACAATAATAATATAAACAAGACACTAGAATACTCACCTTGACTTCAAAGAATGCTGACCCAAATGTCGGCCACTTGTAGATGTACTTCAGGAAGGCCACCTTACTCTCGTCAGGGGACATTCCTGCATCTCTATTATAGTAACCCACAATGGCCTAGAAAAGGAAAAATATGTCAAGGTCAATTATTTATAAATTCAAATAGAGCTGATAAATCAGAGACAAGAAAATGGTCAAGTGATTTATTTATTCATTTGAACAAAACTGCCAAATCAATCTTCTCAAAGCTTATTAATAATACTTGGAAAAGGTTACCTAAAATTTACCAATTACAAAAACAGTTTGTTTTACCAGTGTGGTTTTGTGAGAAACAATGAAATCAAACTTTGTAGTAAGAAAATATTGGGGAAAAAAGGCTGAGGTTTTTAACGGCTAGTTAAAACTGTAGGAGAAAAAAAAACAACAATTTACCCTCTTCCAGTCATCCGGTGATTGTTGCCTGACCAAATCTCCTGGTACCAATTCCTTCAACATACGTCTAAATAAAGAAAAATGTACGAAAATTGATAAATTCAAAGTTTTACCATTTACACATATGAACCTCTTGCCAGCAAATAACATATTGAAATATGATTTAGTATCTATAGAATATTAAACTTGAAAAAAAAAAGACCTTCACAAAACACTGGCATGACTTCCAAAACATCAATTTCTGAAATACTATTTATAAATAACTAGATACAGTGACTGACATATTAAGTACAACCAGCCTAAGTCGCCATGCTAAATTCTCCCTGGAAAATAATGAATTGCATTTATAATCAATTTTATCTACATTCATCTTATTTTTTAAAATATATCTTTCATCAGGATTCTGATAATAATCATAGTGTTCCATAGTGTTCTACAAGAAAAGAAAAGTTTGTAGAGGAAGATATAACAGAATGACATTTATTTTCTGCCAAACAGACTTGAAATCAATTCAAATCACACCATAGAGCATAAAAAAGTAGAAAGTTGTATTCAGAGAAACAACATTTTTCAAGTAGCTCTTATATTAATCTCTCAGTATTTCACATCAAGCCACAACATTTAATTCAAGGCATCACCCACAGATCACAAATAATTTTTTTTCTTTTGCAAATTTCAGAAAATTTCTTTTGCTTAATTTTTTTAGACTTCAAATTAAAAAGAGAAGGACAGTAGACAGAAGATTCACATCAAGAGAAAAAAAAAAGTTATGAATAATCCTTCTACACTTACTGCCAGGCTGGGGGACTAGAGAGGTAAAACAAGATGATAAAAATAAATGTGTACTTTGTGCTTTTTATTAATGTACTGTAAATACTTCAGTTTTTAATATGCTATTAAAGACCTAATTGCAACAGAAACATTTCTCAAAGGATGGGCAAGATTTCATGAATATTATCAATAACAGCAGTTTGTGTCAAAAAGAACCACCAGTTTCTCCATTTTTCAAATGAACTTAACCAGCATTTGATTGCACGAAATTCAATGCACCAATTTCAAATGCTTGGTGGATCAATTACCTACATCACAAGCTCTTCTATGGAACTTTGAAAGCTGCTGAACAAAATGGGCAATTGCGATTGACACGGTGAACTTCAATTGAGCTTGCCTAATCAAAAACTGTGCACAAATGGAGGTTTGGAGAAAAAAAAACAAAAAAAAATCTCTAACCTAAGGGCCAAGGCAGACTTGATTACTGCTTGAAAAAAAAATTGGATATTCCTTAAATGTTTTACTTACGGGATATTGGCTAAAAGTGTCTTGTCATCGCCGTACTTCACTCTGAAGATGATTGCGCCAAGCTGTGCGGCATCATCTGTGTTGCACTTGTGGTAACCTCGAAGCAGCTTGGGCAACTCCTGCAAACAAATGAAGAAGATACATATCAATATTGTTGAGACAAATTATAACAGTCAGTAACTGAGTTTCAGTTTGTTTTCATATCTAAAACTGGAATCATTTCTCTTAGGGAGTTGAACAAATGTGGATATTTTGAAATAGGTAACTGCATTGTTTACTGTTCAGCAGGAAAATGCAAACACATTGCCTAAGGCTTTTTACCTAAAACTGTATACTTTTTGATACAGTTTGTGCGGTACGCTTTCAGGAGTGGATTGAAACTGCCTTTTTGGTCTTGAGAAGAATTTTTAGTTTACATTGACGGGCACCTAATTTTTTGTCAGCAGTCGGTCAAAAATAGAGGATGGATCAACAAAGATAATTTGTAACACCCCATTTCCATAGATTTTTAGATCGATCTATCCCTGTGGGGAGTCTCACTAGATTACTGTCAGCTTGGCCGGCTTAAGCGTCTGTCCCGCCTACTAAAAGCTGTAAGGGGGTAATTAACTATGGTGCCCGCTCGGCTGACTGCAATTTAGCGTGAACCCCCAAGGAGTTAGGTCGATCTAAAACTTAATCTTTAGATTGGATCTAAATCTCTGGGAAAGCACCCTTAGACTCAGAAAATCCCTCTCCATCTGCACCCGACTTTGACAACTTAATACCCAGGCTATTACATAAAAGAGTTCCCTACCTGGTGGTAATGGAAGATAGTGTCAGCATTTCTGTCCTTGCCAGGCACAGTGTTGGTCCAGAGTTTCTTCATAAAGAACACCTGGTATGTGAATTGTGGGGTGGCCCCTATAAGATAATTTTTAAAAATTCAAGAAATTAAACAAAATATTAAAAAAAAGAGAGAGAACCAGTAGGTAGAAATGATATGGCAAACTTAACTGCATGAATATAATTGAAAATACTGAAAAAAAAAGAAAAATATAGAAGCTAACTTCTAAGCACTAATGGGCACTTTTGACAGGTTTTCTTATGCCCATTACAGTAACTGTCAATAATTCATTTGATTTCATATAAAACCGAGTTCTGCATCTCATTCTTGTAGGCCATTAAAAAACTCTTAACCATTTATTATTTCAAATAATAAATTGTTTAACAATAATTTTACCAAGAAAAAATAAATGAATGAATAAACAAATAATAAAAAAGAAAGAAACAAAATAAAAATCAAACAAAAAGTAAGATATAAGCTTGTCTACTAAAGACTCTGTTGAAGAAAATCTTAAAACTTAATATTCAGTAAAAAGAAATGGCAAAGATCAATCTTTGTACATGCTTCATTCCAGAGAACAATTGCATAGGCAAAATTATCAGATGAGAAATAATTCAAAAGTAGAGGTATGTATTTATGAAGACGAAAACTACAGAAAATCTTTTCAAGTTGAAAAAGAAAGCATTCAGAAAAATATGCATTATTTCATCAAACAAGAAAAAAAATCTGAAAAAAGTGTACATAGTTTTTGGGCATTATCACATTTAACTTTTGAATTGGCCTACACCTCTTCTTTAAACTTCCAACTTGAAGTCAATTCTAAGGATCACACCCACCATATAAAATACAAGCATATACAACCCAACCAACAATATACATATACATGTGATAATAACTATAATCTAACAAGGCCAAGTTCCCATGGAATATAAAAAGTTATGAAAAAATTTTGCACTCTTGAAAACTCACACCCTACAAAAACCACACTTTCTAGATTTCTGTCTCTGATACGAGTTTAAAACAGGTGTAAATATCTGACATAGCCACAAATGAATGCTTTAAATTACATAGATATGTGAAAGATAGGTCCCATGTTATTCAATTAACCTCAAACCCTGCATATTAAATTAACCTCAAACAATACCCATATAGTCTAAAACCAAGCCCAGAAAAGATGATCAGAAACTGCAGTAGCACAAAGCAAGGAATTCATTTCAACATTTTTTTTACTTAAAACTTACGATACAGTTGTTTGTAACTCGGTTAATTATAACTACTTTTTTAAATGGTGCACCCGAGGAGATGGCCTTTAAAAGCTGTTTGCTAGAGTAACTTAACTATTATGATGTTATCTTTCAGATGAATTGAATCATTATTACATTTTTAAAAGTTCACAAAATAATCCATTCCAAAAACTTTGACTTTTAAGAATTTTTGAACACAGCTAAAATATCCAAAGGCAAAAACATTTTCTTGGGGAAATATTTTGGCACAATACTGAAGGGTGCTGAAAATTCATATCTTTATTAAGTTTTATAAATTTTGAACTGGCTGCAACTGGCTAAACTGGTTGCATTTTATCTTTGAACTGCCATGTTAGTTATTTAACATGAACAATGCTTGATCTATTCAATAATTAAAATACCTAATCTGAAAAGATGCTTTCACTCCAATATCACAGGCTATTTTCTATTATTCACATTTATCTAAATAAATAAATAAATAAATAAATAAATAAATAAATAAATAAATTTATTATTCATTCCTGTCAACCACAACTATATATACAAGTTGTTAGGACTGTCCTTGACATTATCAATTGGTTATTGTACTTAACAATTAGTTTGAATTTTTAATTTTCATAAAAGAACCCACTAAAGTCCATCCAGAACTAATATACAGAATAGAGCAAGTTTGTTATCTTAGCTACCATCACCCGAGGAACATGTTAATAAAACAAACCATCCTACCTTGTTCTAAAAATATGAAAAATAAAGAGAATGAATGAACAATGCATTTTAAATGTGATGAATATATACAGAAATGGCAATAGTAGCAGCACAAATGTTTTTCAATTGGTAACAGGGGCGTAACCAGACCTTTAAAAATTGTATGCACAGATTTTGAAAATTCCTAGGTACAATTATGTTCCGTGAAAAATACATTGAATTTATGGAGAATAATATCATGGTTGGCTCAAAAAATTGTACGCACAGTGCATCCGTGCGTATGCCTGGTTACGCCCCTGGGTAAGAAGTGTCCATTATCTTAAAAAAAAAAAATCTACTGTCTACTGGGTATTTGGGTGCTTCTACTACTATTTTTGGGTGTAACCATGAAAACGATATAAATTAGGCTGTATAAATGAACTAAAATATTGAAAGAAGTCATAAATATATATATATATGGCACAAACACATACATATAAAACATTAGATATACAAAAGATAGTAAACCTGTTATGACCACAAAGATAATAGGAACTACGTGCTCTGTTGAATATGGTGCTTGTGTACAGGTTATACTAATATTGATATATGGTTACACTTCTCGAATAATTTAACAAGTGTACAGCCACAGGTTTTGTGCTCTGGCTTGTATCAGCTCAGTAACATCAACCTCTTTAAACAAAGACACACACACACACACACGCATGAACGCACACACACAGAATCATAAGTCAGTAAGACTTACCATCTCTAGTGGGCCTGGCTTTCTTGATCCAGTCTGTCAAATGCCTCACAAAGTCAAAGAAAAAGTCTCCCTCGGGTACACTGATCACTGTAATAATAATAATAATAATAATAATTATTATTATTATTATTATTGCAATAAATATGTATATGTTGGTCAAAGTCAAGTCATATAAAAATGCAGCTTTACCAAAATAAATAAATGAATAAATAAATAAATAAATAAATTCCACAACAAAATCTAGCCCCGACATCAGTAAGTCGGTCAAAATATTAATCTCATGCACTTTGAGTCTTCAGCATGAATTACCTTTGTCAGCTATCTTAACAAACAAGCTAAAGCCCTCTGCAGACTTGAGGCTGAGCCTGTTAGCTATGTTCTGACAGAAGTCCTTGGCGCGGGTACTGGAGTCCACTTCAAAGGCCTCATCAGAGTCATCAGGGAAATACACCTAAGACAAGTGTGAAAAAGGTGAAGCTATTTATTTATTTATTTATATTTTTTTTTTCAATTTTCTAATGAAATTCTTCTCATCATTTCCCATGCACAAACATCAAGCATCTGCATAGCATGACAAAAACATATGCGCACACAGAAATCTAAGATTATATTACAATACAATGGTAACTATAATTATATCAAACATTTTTCGAGAAGTTTTTTAAGACAACAAATGATCAAATTACTAACACAATAACAATAAAAAATTAATAAAGTATGGATTATTACCTTGTGGAATATTTGGGTTGTTTTGTGCTGAATTGCCTCCACCTCAACTTGATGGGGTGGGTACTTCCTTTGCCCATTTCTACAATGAATAGTTTACAATGTATCTTTGTATGAACTAACCAACAGTAAATAAATTACAAAGTATCTTTGCTTGACCTAACACTACAGTAAACAATTTACAATTTATCTTTGTATAAAGTAACATAAAAGTAAATAGTTTACAGTGTATCTTTGTATGAACACTACAGGAAAAGGTTACTATGTATCTTTGTATGAACTGACACTATAGTAAACAGTTTACAATGTATCTGCATAAAATAACAACAGTATAAAGTTTTCTATGTATCTTTGTATGAACTAACACTATCACAACAATGTATCTTTGTGTGAACTGACACTACAATATTTTGAGCATAAGCCTTGCACTTTCTCTGTTCTTTATTTTAACACCCCAAATGTGTTTCTCAGGAAAAAAAATGTTCATGTATATTTCTAGGTAAAATCTTGGGATTCCACTTGAATGAGCCAAATATCGAAGGCATTTCTTAAGAATCCCACACGAAATACTTGTCTCATACAGAATTAACTTATAAAAGTAAATAAATATAATAACCAATTTCAATAAAACTATGTATCAATGTTTATATATATATATATTTAGGTGTCATCCATCTTGGCTGATTCAGACAAACTGAAGATATGAGAAACTGAACTGAAGATCATAGGGGAAGAAAGGGTATGTCATGACTCATCAAAATGCAAGGCACCACAATATATATAAATAATATAACATACAAATACAATAAAGACACATTGTATCCAACAATCAATGGTGATTGTGTTTCTCCACCCATGATATATCTCCGACCTACTTTTAGTCAGAACATCATGCAATGAAAAAAAAAAGTAATGGCAGGATTGCATGACTGAAGGCTTAACAATAATATGTTTTTTGGTGTTTTGAACCTTTGAAGGAAGATACACGTCTGAAGTCGCATGCGGGTCGTCTTTAAGTTGATGTTGAACAGTGCAGAGCTCACTTAAGTCACACTTTTAGCACTGGATGTGAAATTTTTAATATCTCAGTTTAATGGAGCCCAGAATAGTCAAAATATACTTGCAGTCCATTCATCTAGTAAAGAAAATTCCCTGACTCCAACATAGACAATTTTCTTCTGTGAGATGTGTCTACTCTCTTCCAAAGATGCTTGAAAACCAGTATTCATAAATCCTGTGTCAGTGTATTAAATACAAAGATTGGTAAAGCACCACCAAAAAGTAGTTAGAACATTTTAGAGTTGAAGTTATTATTTAGGAGGGGGGGGGGGGCAATAAATAATAAAAATAAATAAATAAATAAATACCTCAGTGTTTTCTGCAGTCTGTTCAAACAGTCCGCAGCAAATGGACTTTTCTTAGATCTTAGGAACAGGGTGACCTCCTTCAGAAGATTTGTGCTGGGTGCGAAACATCCTGTCGCTAGCCACATCAATTCCCAGCCGCGCTCCTCACTCACTCTGAAGGGGGTAAAAAAAATAAAATTTCACTATTTGAATGAAGATCTGCCAATATTTTGAACAAATGCAGTCAATTCCATTTGCTTAATATTCTACTGTTACAATAACCAGTAATAAATTACAAATGATTCTTATAAAAAATTATGTAGAAATGTATATTTAATTAATCAATAGCAATGTGAGAACAAATATTGTTGTTCAATTTTCATATTCTAGCTGTTATAGCAATTTTTGATGGTTCTCACCCACCTATTTCTGTTTTCTGTGAGTTGTTTGATCACTTGGCAGTAGATCTCATCCCTCAGAATTTCCTAGAAAAAACAAAAAAACATTGATAATATTCCTATTTCTTTGAAAAATCAAATTGAAATAGCTGATACAAGCTACTTTTCCAAAGAGATGATGCCGAAACACCTAGAACATCTGAAATAAAAAAAAAAAAATGCTGCAAGGGCAAATTCCTATAAAACACCCTATGGTATAAATTAAATATATTTCAATTCTTTCAGGATTACTAAATAAATAATCCTGTTAGAAGTGAAATATATTTATTAAGTAAATGACAACAATTGATATAAGGAGATATAATAGATTTTAAAAAGATGGAATCCTTCTAATTAGTACTTTGGAAATACACCCCGTTTATCAGACAATGCAGTAAAAAAACTAGTAAGTGGTTGATCTTGAAGTATACAAAAACATTTCAGAAAAAAAAAGAAAAAGAGGAGTCTCCTACTATATTTCTTTTTGTCTCACACATCTCATTTCATGATATGTATTTTACATAAACTGTATATATTTGATATAAAATGCATTGCTTTACATGAGTTTTCATTAATCCTCTAATTCTTTAAGCAGTAGAACCATTTCAGTTGTTTTTCTTTGACAAAGCACATATACAAAAATTCCTCCAATGTTTTTCAGATGAAATAAGGTGTGATGCCAGTCTCCAAAATCATATATATTCGACTAAAATCTCTAATATTTCAACTTAAATTGGCACTAATGGTAGGACAATAAATGAGACCGCCTTAACTAGCATTATTTTCCCATTTAACCCATTTCCTTTCAGACCCATTACAAAAGAAATTGACAAACTCCAGCAGCTTAGCTGTATCATTTCAGCATAAATGTAAATATGAAGTGGGATTTATGTCTACAAAATGGTATTATTTCATTTTTATGTCTTGCATAAAGAGTATAATTTTGTATCTCATTTGGTTGTAATGTTTTTCTTTTCTACATTACAAATGGCCATTCCTAGCTTGTTTGGCTCTTTTCCAAAACCTGTATCAAAACAAGATAATGCTCTTTCATCTAGCTTATATGTTATTCTAAAGCCTTACAATTAATATTTCATTTTCTTTGTAGAGTTCAATGATTTTTATACATTGAATTTTTTATGCGTAAATAAAATCTGTTTTACCAAACAAAGGAGATAAACATGTCATCTACAAATATTTTTAATGTTGTTTTCTTTAGATGTCCAATGACTGTTCTCCTATTTTCTAAATATAGCTTTATTAATGCAGTGCATATTTGTAAAAATGTGTAAAGATTTTAAATGCTAGAAAATTTGTAAAGATAAAGAAAAAATATAGATATGATGGAGCTTCTATTAGGAAATTTTAAAAAATATCTTTAAACCACAATTTTTTTTAACCTCCAAATTGATGTAATCTGTGACCTCCTTGATATTACATCAGTTTTACCAAGACAAGGAAGGGATTAAATGTTGCCACTACATACAATTATTAGTGACTTATGATCATAATCTAACATGCTAAATAACTAGGAGATGACAAAGGAAATATTAAAATAAAGCCTCCAGACAAATAAATCAAATTTCCAAAATTAAAATAAAAAGAGGAAGATAATAATGATGAGGATGTCTCTCTCATTCATTTTTTTTATCTTACCAGGAAACCACCAGAACTAGGATTGATGTTTTGTGGTAAATAAAGCACACCACTAAAAGATGCCTGATAAAGCTACTGACGCATTTGAAGAAAAAAAGTCATCCATTTCATAACAACTTTACAACTGTTGGCTTGCCACGTCTTTCAAGATAACTCATTAATCATATTAATGTGCGAGCCCCCAAATCCTCTTCGAATCCCCAGAGAACTTTTTCACAAATCATCAGCCCAAATACAGGTCTTAAATTTTAGACCAAAATTTTCGTCTACTTTGATTTTTCATACTTACATCTTCCATTGCAGGCTCAAAAATGCTCGTAATGAAATCATCCATCTCTGCATAATCATCAATGTCCTGTTCTGTGAGGCCCTCTCTGATATGCTCTACTATCTCCTCTCTTATTTCTTCCCTAATCTCTTCCGTCAACTCTTCATCGCTGTCACAAAGGTCATCAAACAAACCTTCTGGCAACTCTGCTTCCAGCATTGCCTCCAGCAGTTCTTCCTCCTTATCACTAAGATCCGATGTGGACTTTGAGCGATTCAGACCCAAAGGATTTTCACCTTCGTCTTCTTCTTCTTCCAATGGTTCATCCCATTCTTCCACATCTTCTTGTTCTTCTTCAGCATATGCTTCCTCTGCTTGTTCTTCCTCAACATCCTCTTCTTCTGGCTGCTGTTCCTCAATATTTTCCTCCTCATGTTCCTCATTCTTCTCATCACCACTGACTTCATCCTCTTTTGGTTCAGTCTCTCGTTTTTTCTCTATCTTTTTCAAGAAGTTACGGTCCATTAGAGCCGCCTGAAGTTCGCTCATATGAGGTGCTTTACGTATTTCAGGTGGTCGCTCTACAGGCGATATAGATTTACGTTCTATTGGTGAAGGGCTTCGTTCTTCTGACCTATCTTCACGTGATGTGCTACGTTGTTGAACTGGTCTCGTCTTGACTGGTGCTGCCTGCTTGCGATTGTTTTCAGCCATCATTTTACGGTCCATGGTCTTTGGGAGGTTGGTTCCCTTCAGAGCATCTAGCTGTTTTGGAGGGTACACAACCATGGCGACTTGGCTAGGGTTAATCTTTTGAGGCTTCACATGGGCAATCGTAGGACCCATCTGTTTCACTGGCTGAGGTTTAGGTTTCGGTGGGTTTGCATGCATAATGAAATAATTCTTAGGCTTTTCAGTAGACTTCTGCTTCTGTAGTTGTGGCTGTTTTTGGGGTTTTGGGGCAGTTCTTTTTGGTTGTGGTGGAGGTGGAATCCTGTCTGGTATATCAGGAAGCATGGATTTTGGAAACATTCTTGGGGGTGAACGAGTCTTTCTGGACCGCTCACTATTTCGCACCATAAGAGGATTATGACGAATGCGAGGACTACGCGGCTCATGATGACTATGACTATGTGGAACACGATGACTACGTGGCACACGTGGACTACGAGAGATACGTGGACTTCTTGGGATGCGTGGGCTTCTAGGAATGCGCGGGCTTCTTGGTGGCTCTGAATGCTGGCGTAGCAGGTGCCCTCTTGGATGTGAGCTGACTACTGGGGCAGAGTGATGTGGCTCTCTCTCCCTCCTAGTCACTGAGGCTTCGGAATTCTGTGATCTAAGGGAGTCCCTAGGAGATCTGTTTATTGTTTGTTCCCTTCTATAATCATCTGATCTAACGGAGTCCCTAGGAGATCTGTTCATTGTTTGTTCCCTTCTATAATCGTCTGATCTAACGGAGTCCCTAGGAGATCTGTTCATTGTTTGTTCCTTTCTATAATCGTCTGATCTAACGGAGTCCCTAGGAGATCTGTTCATTGTTTGTTCCCTTCTATAATCGTCTGATCTAACAGAGTCTCTAGGAGATCTGTTCATTGTTTGTTCCCTTCTATAATCGTCTGATCTAGCAGATCTGTTCAATGTTTGCTCCCTTCTATAATCATCAACTACTGGGTGTGATTCTCTTCCACTTTTACTCATTGTAGAATCTCGCCTATGCTCATAAACTGGGTCTCTCGGTGTTCTACTTACTGGGGGCTCACGGTGATGGCTGTTAGTCACAGGTGGCGGTGGAGGGTCTATGGGTCTCCTGCCTTCTATTGGATCACGACGATGTCCATTTGACATATATGCTGGTTCCACTGAACTCCGGCTTATTGGGGGCTCCTGGCGATGACTGTTTACAACTGGGGGTGGCGGTTCCAAATATTGTCGACTTGGCGCAGGCTCCCTCCTGTGTCCATTCACTGGGGGAAGAGGGTCAATCGGGTTTCTATTAGTTGGCACCTCACGTGGATGTCCACCATTTGCCACGGGTGGCGGCACACTGACTTGTCTGTTCATATGGGCATTGAGGCTATGCAGATTTTCTGTGGTGAAATTTGGCCTTGGTATGGTACCGTTAATATGTGGCATGGGTCTTGGAGCAGTTCCATTCATAGACTGGTGAGAAGAGGGTGGAGGGCGATCACTGCTGTGGTAAGACGGGGATGGAGGAGGGCTGTAACTGCGTCCTCCATTGGAATACCCACTACTGTGATGGTACCCATTCATGGGTGGGGGGCTGTGGCCTCGTGGGGCGTGTCTCCCTGGGGAAGGAGGGGGGCCACGCCCTTCTCTCTGCCAGTCTTCATTGTATTGCCTCTCGCTGGGATAACGAGAATGGGGGTGGGGGTGGGGGCGGCTCATTCCTGGGCGGAGTCTGTGGCTGAGTGTGATAATCGGGCTCTGGGATGTAATGATCTGCATGGCTTCTCTGAGGTTTCATAGTGTGTGCCCTACTGCTATAATCATTATAGTCTGATCTGTATGTGTCACCCCCGTAACCTTCACCACCATTACGACTGGCTGGTATTACGGCATATATTTCTGAGCCAGAGTTGTAGCCATCACCTTCATACAAGTTCCCTTTCCGGGGCAGTCTTCGTTGCTGCGTGTCTACTGAATTGTAAGGCCTACCTCTCTCTCCCATCATCATTTTTGCAATGTTAAACGTCCAGATCAACAACAATATAAAAAAGACAGTCAATCTCTTTCAGTCGTACAGAGTTGTATTGTTATACCATGCTAAATGATGGAAGACCAGAAATGTGTGCACCAACGCCTGGGACTTACGAGTCGGAATGTTGTTTCTCTCCTTGGCTATTAATCAATGTGAAAGGTACACATGAGATGGGGGGAGACTTGGACTTTTAATGCAGTTTCTGACTCAAAGGTACCAACAGGTAGGCAATGAATTAAACAAAACAGCTTAATCACCTCTGCTTCAGTCAGTACAATGCACTCATATATTGTGCTGGAAAAATGCCTTTAATATATTCCAGTGCTTTTTGATGTAAAAAGTTTCAATTTTAGCTGCAGAAACAAACTCTCCTTCAATAGACGATATATTTCCTTCAGTCTTGTAGTAGAGTCTGAGCTATAAAAAGAATCCAACCACTGTTCTTCCTTAAACACTCAACCTGCAAAGATGCTTTAATAATCATTCCCCACAAGGTGCAGTGTCAGGTGAAAACATCAACCAGGATCCTGGGTATGTCAAATACAGCAATTCCTCTCCTGTTCCTTGTTTATATACCACGTAGTCCAATCAAGCCAGGGTGATTCAAAACCTACAGATGAGTCAAGTTAATCATCCAGAGCTGTGGTGTCATCAGAGTCCAACTCCCCTTTGACTGCCACGCAGCATTTAAGGCAATTTCAAAATAAAATAGCCTTAAAATACCTGTTTCTTTTTAAAGAAACTCCACTGCAGTTTTTCCTTTTAGCAGAAGGAAAAAAAGGAATCCTCTAAACTGAGTGTCAGTCTACCACAGAACTGACTCCCACCTAGTCTCTAGCATGCACAGAATACATCTGATCTCCCGCCTCGTGCCTCACAGGACCCCCATTATACCATTCATAAGGAAACAACATCAAAAAACAATAGGCACCATTCAATCTTATCCCTATGTCAGGCGCCACCTATACCACAGCATGCCATGACTCGGGGATGTTTTGCAACTCATCATTATTCATGCTGCTTCAAGGGCCCTGTATAATTGCAGTGGAGGGTGAGACATGGATGTGAGGAGGCCTTGTCCTGCAAGCTGGATGCAAATGGGACGGTGTAATGAGTTTTCTTGAGACAAGGCCTCTTTGCAAGGTGATGACACTTTTGTGTGACCAAGGGCATATTTTTCTGATCTAAAGAGGGCAATGAAAGAAGTGGTTTATATGCTGGTTTACAATATGGCTGGACTTTGAAACACAAAGATACTTTCATATTTTGGTTTATCTGTGATATAACATATACCCTATAACTATAGTGATATGGAAATGCAGGGTGGGTGGAATGTGTTTCAGAAATATCACTCTATAAAAAAAGACCTCCAATTGTCTATGACTAGGCTTTTATTGACAATCAAAGTACAATTTGCCAGCCCAAATACATGCAAAGATATAAATCGCACTGTAGTGCTCTGTATGGGTGGTGCATTAAAGGTGAAAATTTTGACATGTGAATGGAATATGTAAGAAGACTTTGCTGCCAAACAACTGTAAATTTATCTTGATATTAATTACATATTTCAAATTTAAAAACTCACTATTTTCACAGTGGCAGATCATCCAATTAATAGTATTAGAAAGTTTCCAAGCATTTATGAAATCTTTTCTCTCTTTTTAAATACTTAGTAATGGAGTGAGCAAATTCTGAAAAAAAAAAAGTTTGAATACTCTCCCCTGAATTTCTTCCTATTTTTGGATAATTTCCTTAACCTTCTTTCACCAATAACAAGGACAGGATCTGCCATAATTTACAACTATGTGAATTACAGTAAACAGTTTTTCCTACATTATATATCCTTTTCTTTCCTCTCAAAGACTGCTCTACAGTTCATCTAATGATAATAATGAACATTTACGGAGAGATCTCTAAGATGACCGCTGTGCTTAAAATGGCCCTTAAAACCATATTTAAACAAAGCATGCCCCTTTCACCTTGTTTGTCTGCTTGGAAAAAGTCATTTTGTAAGAAGAGGTTCAAAATGGGAGAGCAGAACACAATGGTATGTCTTGTTGATCTGATCTCCTCTTTGATAATAATTTTGGTAATGCAAAACACGAGCTCCTGCAGATAAAGATAAACATTCAAGCTGAAATTTATTGGTCTGAACTGAGTTTTTTTTTCTATTAGCAAAGATTGCAAAACTTGTTACAGATGTTTTTATGTTACTTTATAGAAGAGAAAGAAGAAACCTGATTGCTAAAAAAAATTCAAAGAGGACTTTTGTTTTTAGATGGCATATATCTTCTTTTCAGACATTCTGTGGTGATGGGTGTAAAATTGAAGATGAAATGAAGCAATAAATAAATCCTGTTACCTTGAATGTTAATTTGTCAAATAGGTCTGTCACAAAGCTTAACTGACTTGTTCTTGTTTTTAGTTTATTCAAGTATCAGATACTTTTTTATAATCAGAGTATGCTGATTAAAATGCATTTCATTGTGTTAAAAAATCTTTACACTTGATAACTGCATAGTCTGTAATACCTCTTCATAGTTCACAACTCTACTGCATTCTATATTAATCTTCTGAGTTCCAACTCAAGTTCCAAAAATGCATATTCAAGCAATACGACTGTAACAAGGAGAAAACTATCTTAATTTCATGTCAAAAAAAAAAAAAAAAAAAAAAAAAAAAAAATCATGTGAAATTTTCTAACAAACGTAACCCTCTGACACTGCAGATTACAGTCATCTATTACAAATGGTTGGTACACCTATGACAAATAGTCCTATCTGTCCATGGAGTCATGCAATCATAAGACTGAAACAATGGGAGTACATATATCAGAGAAAGAGGAATCATGTCTGGATCCTAATTATCAACAGACTTATCTAACCCCCGAGGTCGGCTGACTCAGGAAAACTTTGTATGGACATGCAACTTGGCCTATCAGCTCGTAATTAGGGAATGTTGAAGCAAGTTCATTGCAACAACATTGTTATATATTTTGATGCAATTTGATAAAAATGGGATTAAACATTAACCATATATTCCCAAATCTACCATAATCACTTTCTAATAGTCAACTTCTGTGAGATCTGATGCAATTACTGAGTATATTACTCAGGGTCAGTTAGTCTGGTTCAGAATACTGCCCATGGTGGGCATTGCATGACGGCAGCCATTACTGCTAGTTGGCCAACTACTTCATACTGTCCTGGGTAACGTGCACTCACCATGTGGCATACATACTTTTGTTACGTGAAACAACTTTCTAGTCTCAAATGAGATTTGTGTCAAGATCTACTTTTTATGGCTTACGTGACTTGGCAAAATGAAATATTTATTTACACATGCACACTCACACAAACATATTTTACTGCAAAATGGATTAATAAATTCAGTGCCATCAAAATATTTCTATTAGTACATGACAAGAATGAGTATCAAGAAATAAGCCACATGGCAATTTCTCACAAATTCCAAGTAATCTAAACATTTCATAATGTCAAAATTTGATTGAAATGGTTAATTTCTCAATAAATAAATAAATAAATAAATAAATAAATAAATAAATAAATAGTATTAATGCACTAAAGAAAAAAAAAAATTGGCTTAAACACATTTCAGAATTTGCAAACCACAATTTCAAATATTATCAGCAACACTACAGTTTTGAGAGAAGTACACTGAATATATTCTTCTCAAAATTTGTGAGACATTACCTTACTTTCAAAGGAACTGATGATATACTTACATGTTTCAGAGGGGGCTCAAAGATCTGGTCCGTCGTCTCGTTGCTACCTCTCGTTCTCTTAGACGGGTGGTCTCCCATGTACTTGAGTATAGGTAGAGACAGTTAAGGACTTAAACTAAATATTATAGAGCTCATCCTAGAACATTTCAGACGAAAAAATGTAAAATTTAAAAACAATTTTAGCTGTACACGGCCCTGATACATGGATAAAAAATGTAAACATTTTTAAGCAGATCAGAGATAATATATATTATGCAAAGAGTGTCTTAACAATGCTTCATCTCTACAATGTATATATAAATGTAATCAGTTTATGCATACAAAACCACAATAAATATACAGTGGTGCTTTAGAATGCAATATTTCCTTTTCCTTGGCTCTCCAATACAATAAGAAAATCTAAATTATATGGACAGAATTTGAAGATTGCCCCCAACATGTCTACCTCCCGAACGTGAGATCCTCATTGAAATTCTGTTTATATTGTTGAACATACTGTTTTATAGACAACTAATGTGCTTGCAGGAAATTAATGAACTGCTGGCACAGCTAGATCCAGAAAAATTCATTTAATGTGGAATCAAACCTGGACATGTTTTTGTTCAGATGCACTCGTAATTGCATTCACACAGTCGTTTCTAGAAAATGTGATTTTAACTTTAAAGTGTCACTAAAAATACCGTTTTGGTCCAATTACCCCTTCTCTTTCTCTCTCTCTTCTCCCCTATCTCTCTCTCTCTTCCCTACTAACAAGCCAATTAGTATTCAGTAATGCAATAAAGAACCAATTCAACACACATTAACACAAAACCCTTCATTACGTAACAATGTCTTCTCTGAAATGACCATTAACACCATGACCAATGGTCAGCAGAGGACCATCAGCTCTCACCTTGTCTACCTCTGACACATTAAGTGTCAACTGCCCATTCAATTATATAGTCTGGCCACTGGTTTATCATAATTATGGTATCCCATCATCATGCAAAGTACCCAGAAAGTATTAGAAGGGGTCTCATCCATCTACATATATCTTTTATATAACATTTACCATTCTTTGTTAGTAGTTATAGAGACTATAAATGTATGACCATTCTTGTGTTCAATAAAATATTTTAATATTTATTTATCATAAAACTCATATGGACAGAAGACAGTTTTGATACATGCGTTTCTTGAGACAAAATGGCAGGCCCATGGTACTTAAAATCAAATATAGTTATCTTAAAGAGCCTAGATATTATGTTATTTTCTTTATAACGAAAAAAAAAAAAAAAAAACATTCAGATAAAAGGTTGCTGAAGTATGTGATATTTCCCTAGTAAATGTTGATTTGCTGAAAACAACATGCAATGCATTACCATGATAATCAGTAAAAAATGTGTTATTTGGGGAGGAGGGGGGGATGTATCACAAAAAGCCCCTGATTATGACGTGAACAAATTTCTTCTCCAACAAACTGGCAAGCCTGCCATGCATTACTGACAACAAGTACACCACCTGGCAGTGTGTTCATTAGCAGGCCCTACCTGAGGCATAACACACCCCTCAGGTACACTCTCATTAATTCAAGCTCATACATATGAAATAAGAGGCGTTATCAACTCTTCATTACCTCACAAAAAGGCTTACTGTGTCTCAATGGACGGAAACCACATCATGATGTTCATTGATGCAAAACCTGCCTTGGGTATGGTAACACATGGGAAACATGTATGTTCTAGTATATGAAAAAAAGTAAAGTCGTGTCCATGTTGTAGCACAAACATTATAACCATCATAATGCTTTGCCCTCTTTTTTCACATAAAAAAAACATGCTGGTACTACTTTGAAACGGTTTTCATTATCTGAAGAGAAGATGATAAAAAAGACTTATTTTTAATACCTTATGTCAATGTTAGTGTGTATTTCAAATTGCTATTTTTCCTGGACCTCATCACTGCTCTCATAGGTCTTCTCTTTTATATCTTCTCTACCCCTCACCTCTCCCCAAACTCACCCCCCCCCCCTCGCTTTCCCCACTTGTTGACTATGCTCACTTTAATGGAATGAAGCTGTGCAGAGACATCCTACAAGTTTGTTTCAATCAATATGATCACAACATGAAATGCAACTCTGAACAACCAAACTGAGCCCTTCTCAACCAAAAACACATTCTACCCGTCTCAACCAAGCACATTCAACCCTTCACACCTATCACACCCAGAAAGGATATAGAGGAAGCAGTTGATTGATTCCATGCTGAGCTCTTCTTTCCCGAGGAGTTTCTTCAACAATGGCTGCTTGAGTGGTTCCTTAGAGTAGCGCCATAGCTCCTCCTGTCGTCGTCTCTTGGCACTGGACAGGGAGAGAGTCTTAGACAGGGTTCTTTTGGGAGGAGGTCTGGAAGGTTTAAAATATCAATAATTATCAAAGGACATCTATCTTTAATGATCAGGGATGAGGCTGCCACTTAGTGAAAAAGTCAGAAAAATATGGGGTGGGGACCCTAGACCAATGATATTTTTGCCCCCCGAAAGGTTGGAAATCCACAGAATGATAAAAAATCCTTAAATGATTAAAATGTCCTATTACTAGTTTACATATATTATTTGTTGTACCCCTATATAAGTGACACTGACTTTGAGAAGAAAATGTGTTCGAATTTGATTCCAAATTTTAAGGGCTAACACTGGAGAGATCACGGTTAATACCCACCTAAAATGGTCGAAGGAATACTCCATCAGCGTATGTGGTTTCTCACTGGAGTCGTCAGAGCTCACCGCGTCTGAGTGGATCAGGCGCTGAGACTGCTCATCAGCTTGCATAGCGAAAAGATTCTGTAAATGAAAAAAAAAGAAAAATTATTTTACAAAGTGTAAGAAATTCTGGTGCATTTAAACACACTGACCTGTATAGGTCTCATTTTGATACTAAACCTCTTCAAAGTCTTTCTGGGTAATTCTTGACTTCTAAATCCCAGCCATCAAGTAATACTTCACCACTTGATTTTAGTTCAACAAGTTCGCTCAAACAGCTACTTATGACTGGGCCAGAATGTGCTGATAGGTCATCCACACAGTAACGTGCAGAATCAAGCGATGCAAAACTGAATTCAGTTTTCTAGTTGACAGCAATCCTCATTTCGACTTCTGAATAGCTAGAGACCGAAAAGGTGTGTTGTCACCATTCTATGCCTGGTGTCACTGCGTCTGACGTTAATGCACATTCTGGCATAGCCTATCTATCTTGTAGTTTATTTGTGTCCCGAGTTTTTTTTATGCTTTGCATTTATGATACATACGTAGAACATATCCAAATACCTGCCCAATACTCGCCTCAACATTTAGCAGAGTGTACTGAATACAAATGAATAATATGGCAGTTTACAATACTACATTTTCACAACTGTGTAGCATGGCTCAATGCTGTGAGAGCTTTTTATAAAAGTGGGTGGTTTTTGGAACACACGTAAATGGCTCCTGGCCAATCATCATGTTGGAATGGTATCAAGGACACCAAACAACCCATCTTTGATGACATCAGTACAGAATTCTCTTACACTCACGTGTACTGTGGCACGCGGCAAATCGGCACCATCTTTGATGACATAAGAACAGATATAAACAGAACTTTTTCACACTCACGTGTTCTGTAACATCAACGTGTTGTTTTTCACATCCAATAAGTTATATAATTTCTTAGTTTTAGGTGTATTGGGATATTGGGAAAGATGAAAATTGGAAAATCACCAAATTTCCCTTACATTTTATGATGCACAGCAGTATTGTCAACAACTTAGATAACCTCATCATTAATACACCATTTCCTCATCATTATTATATCATTTTTAATCAACATTTATTTTGTTACACAATTTTAAATACTTAGTCAATCCTATTGGCAGGTTCATTAATTAGTTTCCTCTTGCAGCAGAAAATGTTATTTTTACACGAAAGAAAATAGGGGTAGGAGATGGAATAAACTATAACGCATCCTGCTGGGAAGTCATAAACAGAGAATATTAATATCCAAGTAGATATCATTGTTTTTCTTTTAACCAACAGAGTCAAGACATAGGAAAAAGGAAGGCAGGAGAATCCATTTTGCTACAGAGAATTCTTTTTGGGTAAGTCGCATAAAAATATGTAATTTGGATCAATTTATGTTTCAAACAGGATCTTTGGACCACAGAGTTGTTTTTTTTTCTTATGAGGAGAGTGTGTACATGCACGTGTGTGTGTGTGTGTGTGTGTGTGTATGTGTGTGTATGTGTGTGTGTACATGCATGTGTGTGTGTGTGTGTGTGTGTGTGGGGGGGGGGGGTCCTATAACCATTTTCTAAAATAAATACATTTGTTTCTTTTGAATCATTTTTCATCACATTCTGTACATTACAAATTGCACAGGCTTGACCATTCTCCACAGTGGAAAGAGGTGTATCTATTTCAGGCCCACAGCCAGTAATTTCAAAAGGAGGGTTCTTTTTCTAAAAAGTAGACCTTTTACCATGAAACCTCCCTGTACCTAGATACAATTTTGCCCAGAGGGGACCTTCTCTTAGCAAAAATTGGGGTTCTTTCGAACCCACCTAACCCCCTTTGTCTACAGGCCTGTATTACAGCTCTTATGTAAATGCTCTGTGGTGTAGACACTTACCACAATATCTTGTGGAGGCTTGGTGATGGTAGGCAGCACGTAGACGCACTCCGCGGGGAAGTCTCCTTTCTGTCCTGTTCTGGCACATATACCAACACACCATCCCGAGCTCATGACCGTCTCTCCATTATCCTGGTCCAGCACAATCAGGTCGCCCTTCTGGAAACTCAAGAAAGAGGAGCCCTCGCCTGGAAATAAAAATGATAAAAATTTGTGAAAAAGTGCAAATAGTGAAAATAATAATAATTTTAAATAAAATAAAATACAAAGGATTGGACTATTTTTTGCTGCATCTTACTTACATCAAAAAATCTTTAGGCAAATCAAATTTTAGAGCAAACGATGACAGTCCGTCATCACTTTAAAAAAATTTAAAGTCTGTATGAGCCAGACGGTAACAAAAATATATAAATATATCTCCAGAGCCATCTGGGAAATAAAATTATCCTATCCCCCTAATTATGAAATGGTTTAATTACACTGAAAACCATAAAAACTAAACTTGAATCACATAAAAAGTTCATTATAACAATATTAGTGCAGTATTTCTTGTAATTATGTAAAAATGTGTTAAAACTATCAAATTATAAGACATCTTGCAGTAATTGCACGCACTTATAAACACGGAGACTTTGTACCAATTGACTTAAAGTTTAACATATTCAGAAAATTGATTTTTGGCCAATTAGGTCTGACAACTTCATCTATATTTTTGACAACCTGACAGAATACTAATGAAAAAGACACCAATTGTGAAATTAAAAAAAAAATAAATAAATAAAATAAAAAAATACACAAAAAATTATGACATTAAATAAGTGTTTTATGTAAGTCAAACCAGCTGCTTATGTAATAAAATTCTAAGTGATAAATCATATGCTTTACAAAAATGGTAAATCTATTTAATATATAAACACTATTTCAAGTGAACTACACAATCAAAGCTTATACTGTGCAATAAATAGCAAATCATAGTCGGGGAACTAGTTTCAATATTAATAAAATCTTCAACATCAAAAAAATGGCATAACTCTCACAAACACAAATACTGTGTTTCAATTATCATTCAAAAAAGCCAAACTGAATGGCACTGCACCTTAAAAAACTGCAATGTCAATAGGTTGTTACATTTGCCCAATTGTTATTATTATTATATATCTGTAAGTTCAAGAAGAGAATGTTGTGTTGGTGCTAAACCTGGCAAAGCACCAACTGGACAACAATGAAGCTTTGCTCTGCTGCAGTAATGTCCCTGTAGGCTGCAAATCATACTGTGATGATGATTATCTACATTAAATATATTATTTTATATGTAATTTCTCCTGAGAACATTTGGTAATTAAAAGAAATACCATATTACTGAATATACTCACAGTGTTTATCTCAATAATTCTGTATATTCTCCACGCCTATTACAATGCCACTATGAATATTTCAATATAAAGAATAATTCACATATGACAGACTGAAAAATCTCCTTTAAAGTACAGTGTCACAGCTTGCTGTGGTCTGAGCTAATAGTAAGTTGTAACTGGAGTAACGTCCCTCCTACTAATGCTGGAGTTACTTCGCTCAACACTAGGTCATCATAGAAGACAGATCTCATTAAGAGATATGAGAGTCCCACTGCCAACTTGTCTAATAGTACATACAGTGCCAGCTTGGCTTTGTAAAGTTGTAGCTGTAACAAGCACTAACAGAAACATCAGTGCTGTAAACAGCATGGCACATGAGCCATTGGAAGATTTTTTTTTTTTGTCAAATAAAGATTAAGATGGAGGATTTATTGTCACGGCATTGTGTCATCTTTGAAATCTGTGACATAATTTAGAAGTATCAGCCTGGCTTACGAACTATGAAATAAAAGTGTTTCTTTTTTTTTTTTCAGTGTTGGACAGAGCAGCTAAAGTCATGGTGTTATGTCATCTTTGAAATATATGACATAATGAAATAACAGCATGGCTAAAGAACTAAAGGTGACTTTTGGAGGTGGAGCAATTATTTAAAGGGCACTGTGACATCTATGACATGTGAGACAATATAAATATTATCGAGGCTAATGAGCTGCCCCACTGTGGCTTTTTTTAGAGTTGGATGGAGCAATTATGGACATGGCGTTATGGTATCTTTGACATATGTGACAAGGTTTGCCTGTACTGAGTGGGACATGAATAATCTATGTAGCGTATCAGATTTTTGATTACATACTTGGATTTTTATCTGCAAGTTGAAACAATTGCAACCATTTTATGTGTAAGAGGGACTTTTTAATCTACTTCAAATGGCAAAATGGCAATGAAACTAACAAAAAAGGTATTTTTAAAAAAATATGTTTGCTACTATACAATTAATGCCTGACAAATAAAAAAAATAATACAAATAACAAAAGCCTTTTCCTACTGCCAAGCTATAAGACATACTTTGTGCAGTAGCTAGCATGTGTTCAACAAGCAATTGTGCTACACATGTAGATTAATAGTGTCTTCTCACCTAGAATATTGTAACAAATGGCTGCATATGCAAGAACAGAATATTTACCAATATTCACACACATCCCACAATAGCTTCCTATCTTTTTCTGAATGTGAATTATAAATGAGATGACACAAGACCCTAAAATAAGATCTATTCAAAGAATGTCTCTTTAACACTTGATTAATGCCTACATCATTCACATGAAGCATATCTTTAATTTTAATTAAAATATACTTAGGATCTTAGATTAAAATCCAAATCTAATGATTGCTGCCAACTAAATATAAAGGAGGCTTTTTTCTTATATGTATCTGACACCTGTAAAACAACTGGAAGGCTTGTAATATTAAAACCAATGACTTCTTCCTTGAAATTAAATACACAATGTAAAGATAAGACTTGAATTCTCAGCCCGATTGCATGATATTAACTTCATGCTTAGGTTTGCAACTGCCAAGATTAAGACATATTAGGGCTATATCTGAAATCTTAACTTATTCATGAACTGTGGGCATACAGAAACATGGTGTGCTTAATTGAAATTAATGAGCTAATTAAACATGAATTAATGGAAACCACAGCTTTTAAGAGCTGCCGGACTTCTCTGATACAAGCCCTAATTGTGGATGATGTTAAAAAAGATAAATCTTGATGTGAGACTTTGGGGGATGCATGTCAGAATGGATAGGAAAGGGAAAATTCACTAAATTTGTGCATTATAGTTTCAGCTAAAATACTGAAATATTTAAAAGCTATTTTGAGTTCCAGATTTGACAACATTGCTCCTTACTGCTTAATTTACCCATCAGCATATATTTAGCCATATTCCATAAAATAATCATTAGCACAGCATGTCTGTTTCTATAAAATGGGCAAAACTTGGTCTTAGATTTAGAATTATTACTAACTGATATCGTGTGAAAGCAGACTTCCTTAAATAAGATGTTGGTCTTAAACTTAAAACCCAACCAATGCAGCTGTATTGTAACAGTTAACAACTCGATGTGAGCTTAAATTTTGATCCAAATGAAGGTTCTTTTGTAAAACTGATCCCCAATACTCTTTCCAAAAAATTTAAGGTTAATTTCATATATAATCAGATAATATAAAACACCTACCTGGAGAACTGTAATCCTGTATTGCAATCACGTATTTTGACCTCTTTTTCAAACCCTCCAGGAAGGTCACCACAAGGTCGCGGATGTCCTCTGCATTTGGTGAGGTGAAGGTGAATTCGTCCCCTTTCACTGTGGCCAGAGTGAAGCTCTGCCCATGCATTTTACCCGTTCTGAAAGACAAGAAAATTTGGCTAAAAGGCTGCTTTTCCAAAAAGTAGGCAAGTCATTAGGCTATGGTCTTTTATTTAATACTTACAGTATCAATGGACTAAACTGCCCCTATCTGGGATTAAACTATCCTGAAATCCAGGTACTTTTCCACTTTTTAAAACTTCTCAAGTCTAAATAATTGGAAAATGTACAATAAATAAATAAATAAATAAATAAATAAATAAACTAGACACAGTCTAAATGTTCTACCTGCTACTAGAGACAGCGGTAATCTCTGGGAAGGATAACTCCAGAAGCACTTGCTCCTGGTCATCCACCACATACACGCCCGTCCAGTTCACAGCGATTATGACATCATTCTTGGGCAGGCTCGGCCCAGCAAACTTGTACGCCTCGTAGAACCGAGAGAAAAGCAGCGGCCATTTGTATTTTGCATAGTTGACGATGTCCTCCTTGACCTTGAGGCCTGGCACCTGGTCGCGCTTGAAGTAGCTGTTACGGTGACAGTTTATGACACCCTAAATATTGCATTAAAAACATGATATATTAACTGACATTTCACAAAATTTGACTTATCATTTATAAAAAGTAAATAAATTATACATCTGGTGTTAAATCATTGAGCTAAAAACATCTATTTTAGCCCCAAAGTCCAACAATTTATAACTAATTAACTTATATGAAGTGCTCAATCTTCCAGTAGTAATATTTTGCAGCTGCAAACTGTTAACAGCCCGAGGGATATAAGAAGACATAAAGGAATGGAGTCTATCATATTCCTCATCTGTATCATAATCTCCACAGTGCTGCAGAACAGCTATCTTCATCCTATTTTGACAATAATAATAATAGATAAATAATTAAATAAAATAGTGCTCACATTCATCCAGTAGTTGATGGTCTTATGCTGCAGGCTGCTGTCAGGTATATAAGAAGGCAGTAGGGAGTGGAGACGCTCAGGCACCATGTCTGTTCCATAGTCTATGTAGTACTGCTGGGCAGCTATCATAGCCAGATCTTCATCCTGTAAGCAAAGTAAAGCAATGCTGTCAAATGTACAGACAAAACAGCAAATAATGATACGTAAAATAGGTTATTTAGTCAATTTGATGCAATACTACAAGAGCTTAACAAAGCTATTACCATCAAATTCTAATGATTTACAACAGCTGACTTGGACAATAGCAAAATTTTAAAAGCACAGGGCTTGTTGGGCATGGGCTTTAAGAGCCACTTATACAAGAGGGAACGCTAAGCTAAAAATAAAAGAATCAAGACAAGCAGCTCATCTATATTCTTTGAAAATTAAACTCTCTTCAATATACATAAAAGCTGCCATCCCAAGCAACACTCCAAGTCCTATATTCTCCAAGCACCTGCTATAACTTACCTTCTCACAGCGATATTCTCCAAACTTGATTCCTCGCACCACCTGCTGGTAAATGAGGTTGGTGGCGATGGAGTCGTCGCTCGGGTCATGCCAAGGAGCAAAGATCTCCTTGCGGAAAAACAGTCGCCAGGGGGCATTGCGTTCCTGAGCCCCTTGTTCCTTGGCGTACTGTTCACACTGTGATATGGCGTCCATGACGTGATCGCCTCCACTTCCTAGAGATGATACCTGAGAAGACACACACGAGACTGATTATGACATGAATTTGACATGTTATGTTATATAGGGATGAGACTGCCATTAAGTGAAAAAGTTGGAAAACATGGTGTAGTCTACAGGGGGTAGCGTAGGCCAACGGTATTTTCGACTCCTAAAATGTCAGAAATCCCCTGATACCCATGAAAATCTCATCCCTGGTTATATGATGTCAACATGATAAGAAGGAATAAGAATGTCAAAACTATGATTTTTGTACAGATGTATAAACTGATATGATAACACGTTAGTGTATAATATATGGAGATACATCCATTCTGAGTAAATTTGTTACATGAAATTTGTATATCTAATGCAAGACAAGCTGCTGTCCACAAAAAAATGGAAAAAAAAAAAGAAAAATCACATACATACACTATAAACTGTAAAACCTCAAGCACAACAGAAAACACTTCATCCCACCAACCTTGTCAAACAAAGCAATATACAAGGAGAACCCAAACTGATCTCTGAGGGCTATCTTCTCCGCCAGCTGGATACACAGCTCTTTAGCCGTTGTCGCAGAATCCGCCAGCAGTGTCTTGGTGTTGCCATCCATGAATGTGATGGGTAACATCAAAGGTTTCTTGGATTTTGTAGCCTAAAATACAGCATAAAAGATTGCAAATGATTGTGAAATATGCTAATATTGTGAAAGCATTTTATAGTGCATTGAAACATCCTTGTCAATATTTGAACTTAAGTAGACAAGGAAGATGTATATCAATGAAACAGTCCAAGTTTATAATATTGCTTTTAAAATGAAAGCAAATTTTATTATAATTGTATTATCCAGCATTTAACCACAAATAAATAAATTAATAAATAAATAATTATAACTATAATAAGTGGTATACCTGTAGTTCCAGCCAGCTGGGAGGTTGGTTCCTGGTCCCGTTAACCAAGGTTCTCTTGAGGCGTTCTTCACAGTAGGGGGCGTAGCCTGGAGGTCCGTCATTAATGAAACAGCGCAGGTACTTCACAAACTGGAGGTTGAAATACAAATAAATATATGCTAAGTTAGTGTCTATTTTGATGGATCAGAGTTGCCATGTGTGTCCATGCTGGCCTCTAGAAAAATTGCATGCTTGAGGGACTAAGCAACAGTTTTAAGTATTACAGTTATAAATTCAAAAATATCTGTATAGCTCAACTCTATTTTCCTAGGAGGGTCTTCTGATATTATTAGACAAAATTCACCCAAACAGAACACATACAACTAACTTAGCCTACAGATTTATTCCCAACCCNACAAATATTCACACACATCCCACAATAGCTTCCTATCCTTTTCTGAATGTGAATTATAAATGAGATGACACAAGACCCTAAAATAAGATCTATTCAAAGAATGTCTCTTTAACACTTGATTAATGCCTACATCATTCAGATGAAGCATATCTCTAATTTTAATTAAAATATACTTAGGATCTTAGATTAAAATCCAAATCTAATGATTGCTGCCAACTACATATAAAGGAGGCTTTTTTATTATATGTAACTGACACCTGTAAAACAACTGGAAGGCTTGTTACATTAAAACTAATGACTTCTTCCTTGAAATTAAATACACAATGAAAAGATAAAGACTTGAATTCTCAGCCCGATTGCATGATATTAACTTCATGCTTAGGTTTGCAACTGCCAAGATTAAGACATATTAGGGCTATATCTGAAATCTTAACTTATTCATGAACTGTGGGCATACAGAAACATGGTGTGCTTAATTGAAATTAATGAGCTAATTAAACATGAATTAATGGAGACCACAGCTTTTAAGAGCTGCCGGACTTCTCTGATACAAGCCCTAATTGTGGATGATGTTAAAAAAGATAAATCTTGATGTGAGACTTTGGGGGATGCATGTCAGAATGGATAGGAAAGGGAAAATTCACTAAATTTGTGCATTATAGTTTCAGCTAAACAACTAAAAGATTAACAGCTATTTCGAGTTCCAGATTTGACAACATTGCTCCTTACTGCTTAATTTATCCATCAGCATATATTTAGCCATATTCCATAAAATAATCATTAGCACAGCATGTCTGTTTCTATAAAATGGGCAAAACTTGGTCTTAGATTTAGAATTATTACTAACTGATATCGTGTGAAAGCAGACTGCCTTAAATAAGATGTTGGTCTTAAACTTAAAACCCAACCAATGCAGCTGTATTGTAACAGTTAACAACTCGATGTGAGCTTAAATTTTGATCCAAATGAAGGTTCTTTTGTAAAACTGATCCCCAATACTCTTTCCAAAAAATTTAAGGTTAATTTCATATATAATCAGATAATATAAAACACCTACCTGGAGAACTGTAATCCTGTATTGCAATCACGTATTTTGACCTCTTTTTCAAACCCTCCAGGAAGGTCACCACAAGGTCGCGGATGTCCTCTGCATTTGGTGAGGTGAAGGTGAATTCATCCCCTTTCACTGTGGCCAGAGTGAAGCTCTGCCCATGCATTTTACCCGTTCTGAAAGACAAGAAAATTTGGCTAAAAGGCTGCTTTTCCAAAAAGTAGGCAAGTCATTAGGCTATGGTCTTTTATTTAATACTTACAGTATCAATGGACTAAACTGCCCCTATCTGGGATTAAACTATCCTGAAATCCAGGTACTTTTCCACTTTTTAAAACTTCTCAAGTCTAAATAATTGGAAAATGTACAATAAATAAATAAATAAATAAATAAATAAATAAACTAGACACAGTCTAAATGTTCTACCTGCTACTAGAGACAGCAGTGATCTCTGGGAAAGACAACTCCAGAAGCACTTGTTCCTGGTCATCCACCACATACACGCCCGTCCAGTTCACAGCGATTATGACATCATTCTTGGGCAGGCTCGGCCCAGCAAACTTGTACGCCTCGTAGAACCGAGAGAAAAGCAGCGGCCATTTGTATTTTGCATAGTTGACGATGTCCTCCTTAACCTTCAGACCTGGCACCTGGTCACGCTTGAAGTAGCTGTTACGGTGACAGTTTATGACACCCTAGAAAATAGCAATTAAAAAATAATAAAATAATATAACTGATTTTTCACAAAATCTTACTTTTCATTTAGAATTATAAAAATAAATATATACATACATATTAAATAATAAATAAATATATACATACATAATCAAATGACAGAAGTAAAATAAAATATATTAGATGAATAAAATTGTCAATTAAAAGTGTATAAGAAAATAAAGCATTTGGTACTCTGAGGATATTTACAAATACACTTAAATTAAGTTTCATTTTAAAATTTTCAGTTTAAATAAATAAATAAATAAATAAAACAAAAAAGAGCTCACATTCATCCAGTAGTTGATGGTCTTATGCTGCAGGCTGCTGTCAGGGATATAAGAAGGCAGTAGGGAGTGGAGGCGCTCAGGCACCATGTCTGTTCCATAGTCTATGTAGTACTGCTGGGCAGCTATCATAGCCAGATCTTCATCCTGTAAGCAAAGTAAAGCAATGCTGTCAAATGTACAGACAAAACAGCAAATAATGATACGTAAAATAGGTTATTTAGTCAATTTGATGCAATACAACAAGAGCTTAACAAAGCTATTACCATCAAATTCTAATGATTTACAACAGCTGACTTGGACAATAGCAAAATTTTAAAAGCACAGGGCTTGTGGGGCATGGGATTTAAGAGCCACTTATACAAGAGGAAACGCTAAGCTAAAAATAAAAGAATCAAGACAAGCAGCTCATCTATATTCTTTGAAAATTAAACTCTCTTCAATATACATAAAAGCTGCCATCCCAAGCAACACTCCAAGTCCTATATTCTCCAAGCACCTGCTATAACTTACCTTCTCACAGCGATACTCTCCAAACTTGATTCCTCGCACCACCTGCTGGTAAATGAGGTTGGTGGCGATGGAGTCATCGCTCGGGTCATGCCAAGGAGCAAAGATCTCCTTGCGGAAAAACAGTCGCCAGGGGGCATTGCGTTCCTGAGCCCCTTGTTCCTTGGCGTACTGTTCACACTGTGATATGGCGTCCATGACGTGATCGCCTCCACTTCCTAGAGATGATACCTGAGAAGACACACACGAGACTGATTACGACATGAATTTGACATGTTATGTTATACAGGGATGAGACTGCCATTAAGTGAAAAAGTTGGAAAACATGGTGTAGGCTACAGGGGGTAGCCTAGGCCAATGGTATTTTGGACTCCTAAAAAGTCAGAAATCCCCTGATACCCATGACAATCTCATCCCTGGTTATATGATGTCAACATGATAAGAGGAATAAGAATGTCAAAACTATGATTTTTGTACAGATGTATAAACTGATATAATAACAAGTTAGTGTATAATATATGGAGATACATCCATTCTGAGTAAATTTGTTACATGAAATTTGCATATCTACTGCAAGACAAGCTGCTGTTCACAAAAAAAATGGGGGGGGGGGGGAAGAAAAATCACATACATACACTATAAACTGTAAAACCTCAAGTACAACAGAAAACACTTCATCCCACCAACCTTGTCAAACAAAGCAATATACAAGGAGAACCCAAACTGATCTCTGAGGGCTATCTTCTCCGCCAGCTGGATACACAGCTCTTTAGCCGTTGTCGCAGAATCCGCCAGCAGTGTCTTGGTGTTGCCATCCATGAATGTGATGGGTAACATCAAAGGTTTCTTGGATTTTGTAGCCTAAAATACAGCATAAAAGATTGCAAATGATTGTGAAATATGCAAATATTGTGAAAGCATTTTATAGTGCATTGAAACATCCTTGTCAATATTTGAACTTAAGTAGACAAGGAAGATGTATATCAATGAAACAGTCCAAGTTTATAATATTGCTTTTAAAATGAAAGCAAATTTTATTATAATTGTATTATCCAGCATTTAACCACAAATAAATAAATAAATAAATAATTGTAACTATAATAAGTGGTATACCTGTAGTTCCAGCCAGCTGGGAGGTTGGTTCCTGGTCCCGTTAACCAAGGTTCTCTTGAGGCGTTCTTCACAGTAGGGGGCGTAGCCTGGAGGTCCGTCATTAATGAAACAGCGCAGGTACTTCACAAACTGGAGGTTGAAATACAAATAAATATATGCTAAGTTAGTGTCTATTTTGATGGATCAGAGTTGCCATGTGTGTCTATGCTGGCCTCTAGAAAAATTGCATGCTTGAGGGACTAAGCAACAGTTTTAAGTATTACAGTTATAAATTCAAAAATATCTGTATAGCTCAACTCTATTTTCCTAGGAGGGTATTCTGATATTATTAGACAAAATTCACCCAAACAGAACACATACAACTAACTTAGCCTACAGATTTATTCCCAACCAACATTTTTACACTTTATAATACTCACTAAAGCAGAAAACTTGTACAACTGAAAGTTACCTAAATAAACTATCATTGCAGTATTCTGATTTATTTACACAATATTCACTACAATAGACCTAGTACATGTTATTACCTTGTCTGATGGGGCAAAGCATCCCACACACAGTGACAGCAGGATCCATCCTCTGGCATGACTGCTCTTGCTGGGGTTCTGGCTGAGCTGTTTACAGATCTGACTGTAGATCTCATCTCTGGAAACAATCAGGAATGGAATTAAAACATAATATGAAAATATCACATGCAGCTATATTGTTTTATATAAAACACTATCATCCCTTTTGTTTTTGACTAATTAGCCATCTTTGTTCCTATTGTGATGTACATACTTCATATTTTGAAAAAAAAAAGAAGGACACTTGATAGGATTAAGAAGTTGGTCCTTTATGACTTCGACATATATTTTCACTAAAGGCGCAACAATGCCTCTCTGCTAAAACAAGACCCTTCCAATTAAAAATTACAGCAATGGCAATGACACAGATAGACATAGTGATCAGAATATATACAGACACACAGTGTCTGGACTTAAATTCCTACCTCAATTCTGGTCTCAGAATACCATGCCCAATAATGAAATGCAGCTTCTCCAAGTTTGAGGTAGGCCTGTCATCCAACAATGCATTGCCACTGCCCTGGTACTCCCCATCCCGCAGACGATTTGCAACTTCTTCTGTGATCTTGGACTTCTTTTTCAAGGTCAGAGACACGAGTTTCTTTCTCATGCTTCGTTTCCCTACTTTGGTAGGAATGGGTTCTTTTTCCAGTTCGACTCCCATTCTCTGAGCGTCTTCCAGGTCTTTCTTGTTGAATTTTCTTCCCAGGGTGGAGTAGATCTTAGTCATGACTGGGGTGGTGTCCTAAATAAAAACAAAACAGTTGATTATAAAAAAAATGTATTAACTGTAAGAAGACAAAACATGAGCTTAAATTAAAAAATAATAAGAAGAAATAAATAAATAATAAAAATAGCCTTAACTAACTTTGCTTTAAATAACAGATGGAAAACTTCATTTTTTAATTAATATATAGTACATCATTTAAATATAACCCAATGTCCACTTGAATAAAAACATTCATGCCACTTAAGGCAATCATTTATAAAATGTGAAAATAAATGTAAACAAATCTCTTCTTTTTTGTAAAAATAAAAAAATTCACAATATTTCAAAATTTAAACCAGAATATTCTGTAATAATTCTGGGAAAATCCCCACAGTGAGGTTTGCATAACCCAACTGGCTGTCACACAACAGACCTACCCTTGAATCAGCCAGCGATGTGTGGTACTTCGGCTCTGGTAAATCTCCCATGAAGCGCAGGATGGTAATCCAGACCGCGAGAGCCGCCAGCTGATCCCCTTCGTTCTTCAACTGTAACAGTGATAACTTCAGTGCACGGCGAATGTACGTGTGCGTGGCATTTCCTTGGAAGTAAGTCGCAGCAAACTTGGCAAATTTATACTCCGAGAGGTCTTCTTGCTCAAACTCTGCGTGGGGGAGGTCAGATATGTCCCAGCCGTTTTCAGCAATTGCTCTGCGACGAGACTCTTCAAAGTCCTGGAAAGGAGGAAGAAAATAATGGTTTTTATAAAACCATGACATACTGAAATATTTTTTATGTATTTGAGAACAATAATAATTCCATTATAATTTAGAAATTAAGGTTATACCATTCAAATATCATTTGACTTTAATTGCTGTTTTAATGAAGTAAAATAATTATAAATCACATTATTATCTTTCCATGAAGAAACAATTATTTGATTTATTATGCCCAATGTTGCCTAAATGATAGAGTCCAAATTTTAATCTGAAAATGTACAACAGTAATAATAATAATAATAATAATAATAATAATAATAATAATAATAATAATAATAATAATAATAATAATAATAATAGTAATAGTAATAGTAATAGTAGTAGTAGTAGTACCTTGAAGCCCTCGGGAGCATTCCCCTCTCCAGAAGAGTCCGTCTGTGCATCTATGAAGCCAAACATCTGGTCAACCTGGGAACACAAGGACACAGTTAAAATATCAACAAAACAATACAAAAGGGTAGAAATTAAAAAAAAAAAACTGTTATTATAAGATTTCAGAAACATCATCAAAAATTGCCAATAAGAGTAAACATGATAGTTTGATGGTTGGCGTGGTGACTTTTTCTGCTCAAGCACGTTTCAAAGATATCTCACCATCTTGGAATCATCCACTGGCTCATTCTTCCTTCTCTCCGCTTCTTCAATCATGAACTTTTTCTTTTCCTTCTCTTCCCTCTCGTGACGCTCCTCCTCATGGACCTCCATCTCTATGCGCGAAAGACGTTCCTACAAGTAAACAAGGTAAACTTAATTCAAATAAAGTCCAGATATATAATACTTGTTTCTTTTCTATCCAAAATGTTTTGGTAGCACACTTATTAATCAAACTGAATAAACTTGGTTCAACTGATGTATAATTTCAGATGATGCCATTTTCTTGTCATTTAAGTAATACTACTGTCATCAGGCAGCACAAGTTTAATATGGACAAAATTCAGCTATGTATAAAGTCAAAAAATTTCTTATTTCAAATATAAACCACATATAGAAAATGCCTGCAATGAAAACTCACATCATAAAAAAAATCAAAATGATAAAAACAGATATCTTATATTAAAATACCATAACAGACTTCTGATTTGGATAGCCTGACATTGTATCAAGCTGTTGGACAACCAGAAACATATGTGGCCATATGAATATTATAGCAATATGGAATATTTCAACATGACATTAAATCTTTGTCACCAATACGGTATATAATATTCATTAAATATTATCCTTATATAACATATAAATATCTAAAGTAAAGCCATATCTCAGTTAATTTTCTAACATTTCAATTTACAGAAGACCTTGCGTGTCACATACACTGGGAATGGAAATTTGTTTGACCTGCACAAAGAATTAAATTGGGCAAAGTTCATATTAATTAAAAATAATACCACTGAACAAATCTGTTCCATGCAAATGGGACATAACATAATAATAATTTAGTAACAGGTTTTGAGTTGATATGTGGATTTTATTCTATGTGGTTAAAATCTGTGAGACTCATTCTCATATTTAAAATAAACATTGTACAGCTTTAAACAGATTTGCCTTCATGGTTTTGCCATATTTTAATACTGTCAATGGCCCCTATTTAAAAGCATGTGTTTAATCTTTTTAATACAAAACTATTTGTCAATGAGAGAACAGTTTCATTAGCTCTGTATGTATCAATTCAAATTATTTTTTCTTTTTATCAAGAGCTTTCAAAATATGTGGGTATTACCTCCAATATTTCTGTGACTGTCAGTCACCATCATCATTATTTGTCAATGACTAAGAAGAGAAAAAACCTCATTCTTTTCCCTCCTAATTACCAACCTCTAAAGTCATTGCAGGAACCACCATGTACCTCCTTACTGGCAGCCATGATATCTTTCTAGATAATTCTTTTGTGCTAGTTTCCAAATAATTATTTGGTAAAGATTCCAGGGAATCGCTAAGATCCTCTTCTGAATTTGTTGGAGACATTTCCATCTTGTCATTTGGAAGAGATTCCATAGTGTTATTTGGAAAAGATTCCTCTGAGTCATTTTGTATTTCGTCTCCAGAAGAGGAGAAGTCATCCTCCATCTTGGTGACTGTGTCAATATTATATCAAATACTCCACTGCCTGCCCCACCCACCAATGAAAAATATTCAAGTCCATCTTTTTTCCACAGCTTTTAGGTCATTTCTTAATGTATGTGCAGACTTTTTAGTCAAATTTTGTTTGAAAGTTACTCCCTAAACATTCCATCATGGAATGCACTATCTGTTACAAATATGTCACTTCATGTCCTGCTCTTCATGTTGCCATTAAAAAAAAATTAAAATATTCTCTAAAAAATATTCTCTCTCTCAGTAAAAGAAAGATGTTCCATCTGCTTCAAAATCTGCCCATTTCATGGCTGCCACTCAACAGTTACCATGGCAACAGCTGTTTGAGGTCATTATTGTGATGTTTTAAGGTTACTAACACACATACACCCAAGGTCAGTGAAATCTTTTTTTTTTTTTTTTTTATTATACAAAATTCCATTCTACAAGATGTTGCACACAGAAACATTGCTTACATTGTTTCCCTTCAAAATACAAGTAACTGATGATTTATAACCCTTATAATTACTTTATAAAGGGTGATTTTAAATATATTTTTCTATCTTCAAGATACTACATTTCCAATGGTTATTCATTTTTGTAATGTATTAAATGACCAAACTTTGCCGTAAGTTTCTAAGCTTCATTCTGGTGGTCCCATTTGAACTGTGTGACATTTATAAAAAAAAAAATGTCCCTTACACGATGCACACTATATTTCATGAGGCAAATGATCTTTAAAAAATGATTCACTCCTTACATATTTCCTATGTGCACATATTTCCTATGTGCATAACCCAATAACTGCAAACTTATTTTATGCAAAATTGTCCCTTTATTACTTTAATATTGAATAAATAAATAAATAAATAAATAAATAACAATGTGGACTTATTACATTAAGTGTAACACTTATCATTACATGAAAAACTTATACAGAATGAATAAATGGCAACAATATATAAAGGTACTCTCATTTCTGTAACTTTGCAACAACATAATATATGACCCTGGGAGTCTGTTGGATGTCAGATTCTCCTTTATATCACTTGCAAACTTTTGCACTGTGTGAGTTTCTATTTTAATTCTGTTTTCTAAGAAATAAATCCTTGCTTAAATGCAGTTTTTAAAATTTAGCTAATCTTTTTTAGTCTTATTCTTTAACTAATAATAAAGAAAGAAAGACCTATTATTTAACTCATAAAAAAACAAACAAACAAACAAACAAAATTTTTTACCTTGTGCAATCTCTCAGCCTCCTGCTTGGCCTTCTTGGCGTTCATTTGTTTCCTCAGTTTCTCTTCCTCCATCTTCCTGATGCGCTCTGCTTCCAGACGTTTTTGTCTCTGAAAGAGAAACAAATCAACAGTACAGATAAATGTTTTGGAAGAGAAAGACACTTCAAATATGTCAAAAATATGAGTTCTGTGAGATGAAAAATAGATAATACCTTCAAGTTGCTCCATATATATGTATCATATAAAATACTAGAAACAATTTTGATGAGCCTTCAATTAATGTGTAAGATGGTCATAAAACTAAAAAGCCATTGCACAAAAATGAAATTTGACAAGCCTTTTTTAATAGTATTATCTGAAACTAAATCAGACTAGTCAAATTCCATGAGAGGATAACTGCTTAAAATTAGTATCCAATCTCTTATTTCAATTTTTTATTTAAAAAAAATCTCTTACCTCCATTTTCAGTCTCCTGTACTTCCTCCTGGCTATTATCTTCCTGACTCCAGCCTGAATGGTGACCACTGCCCACAAACGCTTGTTGTATCTCTTCCTCGCCAGATGACCACGGCAGTAACGCTGGAACAAGACAAAAAAATTTGGTTTTACTTTCAATTTTGAAGTGGATTTATTCAGATATAAGTTTCATATCACGAATTGAAATATGAATTGTCAAATGAAGAGGTTTGAAAAACTACTGTAAAATTTCACAATAATAATTTTTAAAAATCAGACACAGCTAAGCTTAGCTCAGAACATTGTACATCTGAACTAAGTAACTGCTAGACATAGCCCTATTCTTAACATTGGCAAAGTTGACACAATACTGTTCAACGCCTAAATTGTGATCATTATGAAAATATAAAAATTTAACACATATTTTCATACCAAACAAAGAAATCTGAAAAAAAAAAATTCAAGAGATTAAACACGGTTTTTAACTTATAAGGCATAGCATTTCAAAGAAAAAATTATTTCTGTTCAACACATAACCTGGATACAACTGACTGTCAGAAAAAATATTTCTTTTAATTTTATCGCCACCCACCTGGAAGCTGATCATCATGGCGCGGAGTGCGCTGAATCTAGCAGTAAGAATCCTAGACCTGTACAGAGCTTGTAGACGCATGTAGCCATTACGCATCTGGAAATCAATCAAACATTACGATTAGCAAAGTATTGGAATAAAAACTGATCATTTTCACTCAGATTTAATCTTATAAATAATGATTATCCATAAATCTGAAGCAAAATCACCATCCTATGTCGACTTTGTTAGTAAAAATATTCCTTATTTTTTTTAATCTGATAAAGAAAAAGATGTATTTTTAACCAATAAAATATTTATTTTTCACCTACAAGTAAACTTATTTCAAATCAGCATTTCATTTAATTCTACTATTAAAGCATCGTAAATATACTATGATCTACTATTAATTCAAACAACATGACCAGTTTTGTCTCAGTCACATAAAAAAATTAACAAAAAATAAACATCGTGATCAAAATTAACAAATAAATAATAAAACAATCAATGATATCTCATTTAGTTTACCACAATATATATATATATAAATATATCACTTAGCAAACACCAAATAGTTCAAACTCAATTTTGATCCCAGACTTCTTCCAAATAAAAAAAACTAACCAGGCTGTAATGAATCTCCCTATCCCATGGCATTTCTTAACTCCTCTCTGACTACTTGTAAAACAGAGACTGACTGGCAACAACTGACTGGTCTGATGTTTTCACCCTCCTACGACTACAAACTCTCTTATCTGGGTGTGACCTTTTCACATATGAATGCGACTATAATCAGCTAGTGAAATCCTCCGTTTCTAATTTCTCTTAACCTCTATGTCAAGTTCTCAATTTGGATAAAAAACAGAAATGTTGATGGTGAAGAGGTAACGGAAAAGGGAAAAGTTGGGATTATTAGGGGTGTGGTTACATGGGAAACAGACTTCCGATCTTCATTTTTTATTTGTACTTAATGAGCATTATCATTACTTCTCACCAAGAGCTTGAAAGACTTAAGACTGCATTCAGTTTCACACATCGTACTAGCTGATACAGTGCAATTCTCGCTAAAGTGCAATCAATGGAATCGGCTTAATTCACGTCTCCTTGAGCAGATAGGGGTTAATTAACTATCATGTGCTGATTAAGCTGAATCCACTGAATACGCAATAATCCCCGGCAGAGTTGGACTGACCCAGCTAGTAAAATGTGTGAATCTGTATGTGCCCTTACTAATACATGGACCTGATTGATCTAAGCTATAAATAACCCCCCACCTTCCACTTGACTGACAGGAAGGGCGTGTTGTCAAATCATTCCAACTGACATACAGCTATCACCAGTCAATACAGGTATGTATTAAATAATCATTATGAAATTTAAACAATGTCATATCCGCTGCCGTCACTGCCCAACCATGGCATGAATACTCAAGGTCAGGTTTTAATAGACCTCACGTGAGAAAATGATCTCCCAGGATGAAAGACTAACAAGGCTGCATCAGGGTATCAGCATTTTAAATTAGGAAGAAATGAATTGTTGGCTTAATGACAAGGGGTCTGGGGTTGCTCCAATCAGGAAAACTGCTAAGAAAAAAACCCCAACAAACTGGGATTTCTGATTTAAATCAGTAGAAAATCCTGTCTGTGTTACCTCATAGGTCCAGGATGGTATTTTATTTTTATGGGGGCAAATTTCTTTTTGTTTCCTTCATTTTTTAATATATATTAATTTTATTTGTACATCAGTCTTTGGGTGCAAATTTATTTATTTGTTTATATGCTTATTTTCACACCTATTTAAAATCAACTTACTGCCAAGTATCTCTTCCTCTGTGCGTACCCTCTCCAGATTTTCTGAATGATAACTGAGCCAGACTTCATCTTTAAGAATCGCCGTCTGCAGTGCCAGCCACGAATACATTTCTGTATGATGAGGATCTTCTGCCCCAGCACTAGCTCCCTCTCTTGTTCCAGTTTGACATCTTGGGCATCCTTTAGAACAGATAAATAAATAAATAAATAAATAAATAAATAAATAAATAAATAAAATAATGGCGTTTTGGTTTTTTAGGTTTTATATCACATCATTATTTCTTGCATTTCAGTGGTGAATCCATAAGAACATGACATGTTTGCATTTAAAATACATATTAGTTTATAAATAAATAAATAAATAAACAATGGTTTTTGATTAATAGGTTCTGCATTTACTTTTACTAGCATTTTATGAAACTGTTATTCAAATTAATTTTACATTTCACACAAGTGAATACTTATGCTTCTGTCCTGTGAAAAAATGTTGCTATCTTAATGGAATAAACACTCAATAAAATACAATTTTAATGTGTGCCTATTTACAAATCTTATCAATAAATCAATAATAATGTTGTTCATATGATGATTGTTGTAATCAATCAGGGAGTTGGTGACTCAGAATACGTCTGTCTGTCTGTATTTGCATATCAAATTCACATGTTCATTAGGATGATAAAGATAGGGGATTTTGGCTGGAATTCTGACTAAAGTAGTTGGCAAAAATTACTCAAGAGAGGACATTGATGGGAATGGCAGTGAAACTGTATGGATTGGGGTAGCTCAAAATATCATTCTAACAGCAAAATACCATTTTAAGTACCATGAAAAAAAAAAAAAAAAATTATATATATATATAGCAGCCTACCTTCAAGAAAACCTTTCTCTTTCCAAGCTGATAATCAACTTTTCCTAGAATAACTTGGCAGATTTTCATTGAGGCTGCCTTGCAGTCTGGGTTTTTATGTGGTGGTAAAATCCCCGGAACAAGGAAACGATAACGATCTACGAAGTTGGCGAATGTATGTCTGATGGGATAGCCGGCCCTTCGAATACGGATGGTCTCCATCATACCAGAGTACCTCAGCTGTCGCACACACAGCTCGCGATCAAATAGCTGGAAAAAGAAAATAATGTTATAAATAACAGCATTTTGGAAACATGTCTTTACAGGAGTAATGCTTGTTCATTTAAGTTGAAACCTTGTGGATAACAATTCTGAAATAATTCTGAAGCTTGACTGACTTTCAGAATTATTTTACAGTGTATTTATGTTCAAACTTTAGTAAAAAAAAAAAAATAATAATAATAATGCTTATCAACAATAATAAATTTGATGCAGGAGGAGGTAATAACTGAATACAGCACACAGGGTAAAAAGGATCATTTTTCTTTTTTTAAATCTATTTTCTAAGTTTTAATGGTCATTACAGAATAATGCTATACTTTTTGTTTAAAAGTAAGTTTATCTTTCTTCATTAATACTTCACATTTACTACCTTCTCTTATGCAATCATAAGTTCAAATTTGTTTCCTAGATATTAAGCTAATTTAGCAGGCTTATTAAAGACTGAAAACTGGACAAACATGGAAATTTAATATCAATTTGTTCTCATAACATACCATTGGTTTCTTGAACTCATTTGGCTTGATGCAGCGTACAAAGAATGGCTGACAAGCTCCCAGGGTCTTCATCAGGAGCTCTAGGGAGCGTTTGAACTGAGAGCCAAGGGTGGGGCTCCTCTTTCTAGTGTCTGGACCCTGATGATGGATTGAATAAAAAACACAAGGATGAGATGCTTTTTTGAATACTAGTGCCACCTATATGTATGTATTTGATGGTGTCATCTGCTTTTAAATTGATAAAAGATTTTAGAAATCTGCAGACACATAGACTTGGTGAATTTTAAAAGATGCGACTTGTCAAATTGCATAACCCATGTAGCTTGGGATGCAAAAATTATAAATAAATAAATAAATAAATAAATAAATAAATAAATAAATAAATAAATAAAAGAAAATGCAAGGATGTCAAGACTTCAAGCAATTGCTATTAACACTCAAATTAAATTTTGATATCAAAGTATGTTTAGAGAAAATTCTTTTGAAACATTTAATGTAAAGAAATAACATATCTTTGTTTAAAAATACCCACCATATGCATATCTTTGTAGAATAAATTCTTGAGAAACTTAAATTGTGATGTCTCTATCAAGTGGATCAAATCGGGACTAAAAGTGTCCCTGTTCTTCTCTAGGAAACCTGAAAAAATAAATCAAATTAGACTGGCATCCATTTCATAAACCGTGTCATGAATATTTCTGCACTTAGTACAAGAAATATCATTTTAATTTTAGTCAGCAGTATGGCACTAAATTAAGAGATTTTAAACTTTTTATCATGGTTCAGATGGACATCACTCATACAAAAACTATAATGGAAAGATTATTGTTGATTGGCTAGCTGAAATCTTAGGAATAAATACAGAATCTATATTGGTGTAGTATGGCAATGATCAATTTGTGCAAAAATTACAAAATGTTTGTTCAAACATGCTCATTTAGTGATTTTTTTTAATCTCTTTATTTATTTATTTTTTTGGAGGTGAGGGGGGGGGGGGTGTGTGTGCAGACAGATGGATTGGCCACACAAATGTCACAGTACACCATATCAAATTCTCACCATTGATGCTATAGAAGACCACACCAGCAAAATGGTTCAGCCCAAACATGGGGTTCACTTCCGCCCTAGGTCTCAGGTAGTGGACGTTCTTGCCGTGTTGTCTGTGCAACTTTTCCAGGAGAGAGCGATCAGAGCCCTGAAAGAAAGGGAAGATGTTTAGAGATAGTAAAATGGGATCACAGAATTTTTTTTACTTTAAACAGTGAAATTTACAACAACAACAATATTACTTAGGAAACTTGGATTTCAAAATCAGAAAAGACTCAATTCACCTCAGAGTTAATTTTTTTAGGGACCATTCCCAGACCGTATCATACTAAATGTGGATCGTTCTATCTCTAAGGGGATTCTCGCTAAATTGCAATCAACTTAGATGTCTGTCTGTGCTAGGGGGTAATAAATTGTTGTTTAACAGCTTCAGTAGGCATGCCAGACATCAAAGTCGCTCAAGTTAAAAGCAATTTAGCCAGAAACCCCCAGGAGATGTGAACTTTAGGATGATAATAGTATAATATATTCTTTGCAAGTACAATACCATACCTTAGGAAACTTGGACTCCTCATCCACCAAAGCTAAAATGCTCATGGGTTTGACTGCCAACAGATCCAGAATTTCCTGGTTATCCACAAACTCAATGTGCTGCCAGTTGATGCCCTCCATGTTGTATTCTTCCTGCTCCAGCTTGAAGATGTGACGCACAAAGAACTGCTGTAGGTTCTCATTGGCAAAGTTGATGCAAAGCTGCTCAAAGCTGAAAAGTGGATCATCACAATGAAAATAGGGTTTTTCTATCATGAAGTAGACCTAATTTTGGGTCTAAAAATTTAGATTAATTATGGAGATACAGATATTTGGGGAAACTTGTCCTAACATGAAGATCCAAACTGGGCTCATTTCCATTCCAGACATTGACTCACTTCACTTGAATTGGTTACAAAACAGGTGCAGTATTTCATTTAATTGGTTTATTTTCAATTTACATTGTGTTTAATTGGACAAAACATTTGGCCAAAAAGTTCAAGCCCTGCCCACCTATTTTTGTCAAACAGCTCAAACCCAAAGATGTCCAGCACTCCTATAGAGGTCCTCTCATGTCTGTCTAGATTCTTCTTATAGATGGCAGCATTGATCTTCTCCACAATGAAGACAAACATGCGCCCATAGATACCTTTGGAGAAAGAAAAATATATGGTGTATATTATCACAAAACAGAATCCTAAAATTTGTTTAGGCAAAACTTTCTGACAAAAAAATTTTAATACTTAAATTACAGAAAGGAGGTGAACTAAAGGCTCATACTATCATATAAAATTTTCAATGCAAGGTTAACAATAGTTGGTAGCATAACCTCCTATTCAAAAATAACCAAATTTCTGATAATTAAAAAAAAAAAAAAAAAAAAAAAAAACTCTAAATAATATCTGACTGTTATGATAAAAAGCTTGTGATTTGGGGCTCAGTATAAGACCCACTAGCATGACCATCAAAATTGTTTTCATGACTGATATTATTACTTATAACTATCATTCTTCCAAACCTTTCACAAATGCGTCCCTGACGTCCAGCGAGTTCTGGACATTCATGCTGGAGATGACTGACTCTCCCTGGGCAAAGATGGTTCTCGTGGTCAAGGCGTCCACCAAGTTTTGAGGTGCAACCTATTGTTTTGGGGAGAAGCAAAGGGGGAGATGAAAAGTTATGTACTGTTCATTGTAATCATGATGATGATGCTTATAAAAAGTATTTTGTACAAGCATAAATGTTAAAAACATTAAATCTAAATTAAAATAAAACACACTTTAAACAGTATATTTTATAGCAAAAATCAATAATAATAATAATAATAATAATAATAATAATAATAATAATAATAATAATAATAATAATAATGAATCTACAGTGCAAAGTATTTGTTTGTGAGTGTCATATATATCATTTCTGGCAAAGTGCAATCTCTCACCCCTAGCATCTTGGCTGCTCTCTTGGCACAGTTCAGATCCATGATTTCTGAGGCGTCCATGTTGTTGATCTGTGCCTCTGAAGAATAGCAGAAAAATAGTTCCACATTATCATTTCCAATTACATCAGATTCTATATCTCTTGAATTAAAAGCATATATAAAATCGAGTTCTAAGGATATTAGTATTTCAAATTATTGCTGCAATTCATCAAAAAGTATCATGTTGAAAATTTCCTCAATGTCCACATTGCAAGGCAGATATTACATAGGAGGCAATTGTAAGTTGGCTATAATGCCAAAAACACACCCTAAACACATTGTAAGAGGGCTTCTACTCTGAGGAATTACAGAATACACCACATGGGTACAACATTTTAAGACTACTATTCTTACCTTGGTATTTTAAATTGCCCAGATGCAGAAGTGCTGCCAGAATTTTAAGAATGTCAAAGATTTCAGAATCTTCAAACATCAAAACTTTCATAGCCGAACGAATATCTGCGAAATCCTTGGCGTCATCGTGACCTTCACAATGAATGTCTCCTCCCTAAGAAAATAAAAGATGCGAAAGATTTATGAAAATGCTGTTAATTCTCACTCTAAGCATCTTTGCACAGATTTCAAAATGCTTTTCTGGCAGGCACTTTGTGGGATGATCTCTCATTGGCAGATTTTCATCCAATCAAAATGATGGAAATGAAATTTGTGCAAAATGCTCAGGTAACAAATGGCTTTATTACCATAGGGATGGACACATAAAATATATACATAAAACAACAATGACACCATCATTCTAACTCTGACAATCAATCCTGTTAGCAGGTGCATTTTGTTAATAGCTGCATTTGTTCTGTCTTTTCATACTGTTTGATACATGTATAAAGGCACTTCTTTAGTTAATCTCTAATTGAAAAGTTACAGAATGAAGCAATGTAAAATAAAAAATGTAAATCTGATAGATAAGAAGCTGTCTACAACGTAAGTACAAATAACACATTTCCAGTATATGGAATTAAGATATATGGGATAAATACTGTGATTTTTGGACATTCAATGTGCCTGACGTTTCATTAACTTATAATAATAAAGCACAGAAAAAAAAATCTGTCCATCAGCAAGCAGTGAATAAGCAGTGAAACTGTACGAGATGTAATATCATATTCATACATGTGGTGCTCTGCTAATCTGCAAACCATGCTTAAACATTATGAGAAACATTAAATTTTTAATGTAATTTTCAAGGTTATAGTCCAAATAAATTTAGAAGATATTCTTATTCCCTTGTGAAATGTACAAACCAACAAATTATAGGGAAACAATTGACACTTTTTTTAAAGAAAATATCTTAAACATTTTTTTGACGAATTTCAAACATGGTTTGCAGGAGGCCAAAGGCCAATGACCTGAGCTTGTTCATCAAATAACCTATTAGTGACACCTTGAAATAAATATATAAGAGCTCCTCATTCAATAAATTCTGCCTTAACTGCCGTCCCTCATACCACTGCATCCTTTATATATAGTTTACTAAATCTTAGTCAATCCTCACACCTTCAAGCCTGGTATTGGTTAGTTCTCAAATTTCCCCAATGTTAGCCCATCATTTCAGGTTAAACTTTGCCACCATTTCCTGTTTACAAAAGAACGGTTCCCCTTACCAACTCAAAATCGACAAACTTGCCTTAATGTGAGGTGTATAAATTAATAAAGCCCAAATGTTTTCTTTGCTATAAATGTTCACTTCTTCAATGCTAAATGTAAACAAACAAACAAACAAACAAACAAACAAAAAATGCAATAAGGCTTAAGAACAAATGCATCTGCCAAAGTTAAATAGGCTACCTAACTTATAAATTTCCTTTATAGCAACGCCATAAGCTTTGCACCAAAAATGACTGTAGTGAAGCTCTTGAAAAAGCCACTCACAAAAATATGCTAAAGCTATGTAAGAATTCTGTAAGCCATGGCATGGTTAAAAAAAACTTTATTTGGGGGTGGGGGACAGGGTTAGATGGAGGGGGTTCATGTTTTGTATTGATCTTTGTCAAAAAATAATAGGTTGAAAACGAACCATGGAGTAAGGCAGCCTCCAATGCAATGGAAAATGATAAAGCAAAACAGCACAACATATCATGGCCAAAAAGATATCTAGTTACAAAAACATTAGTTTCTTAACTAAGCTACCTTTGAATGACCCTCAATAACATAATGATTAATTTCAAACTTCTTCCCCTGATTCTAATCTCATTAACATCATTAATTTTCTCCCATTATGTCTGAATCCGCACACACAAAATTTAAACAAATTCAGAGTAGCTGACACTCTGATAGTGTCCGTGTCATTCGAAATAAGAGTTTATAATGCACTCTCTGACCCAATCCAAACCTTGCCCATGTCATGTCCAATGTAGCACATGTTCCAACAGATAGCTACACAGAGAAATGCTACTCTGGTAACAGCTTGAAGAAGCAGACAGCCCTAATTTCAGTGTGGCACAGCTGGTTTCTTATAAGATGATGATCTTTTTAACTGTCTCAAGATCAGGACCATGGCCTGGTTAATGCCATTAAGTCTGAGAGCACTGAATAGTTTTTTCTATTCTCCAAACTTTATTCCTTTCTAAAACATTCTGACAAGTACATTCTTGGTCATTTACTGTTGTTTGCAATGGTGTAAGAAGGCTTAAACCCCAATTTATCTGCCTTTGTTGTGTTCATTGTCTGCTAACAATAACTGATGCTGTGAAAGGTTTCCATACAGCAAAAATGCATGTTGTACTTTCATGACTACTCTATCAATAAAGTGAAATAATAGGGACAGTCATTACTAATTGGAAAAATGAAATGGAGTGCATGTTCAAGCAACTTGCATTGCAAACTTAACATAACTGCAACAGTAATATGGTTTTGCATTTGACAACAACCAAATGAAAATGCAAGTATAGTGGAAAATAGGCCATGCAAGTAGCATTCCAAATTTCAAACAATGAAATTGCCAAAAATTAAAATCAAGAGAAGAATTTTCTGAATTGTGCAACTCTTATCTTAAAATCAGTGCAAACGGAGAGTCCATTCATGACAGTTCTTACATCTTCAGGCCATCACATCATCAAATGATATCTGAGTGAGGAGTGAGCTGCTGCAGTTCAAAATTCATAAGGTGTTTCATCAAGCTTCAAGCAAGTGAGCTTTACATTTCATCATGCATATCAGGGTTCCCACTATGACCAACCATGCCATGAGTATGCATATTTGACCTAATTTCACCTATTTTCTACTGTGACCTCATAAAAATTAAGACTTGCCCCTGGAAACCAATGGGAAACCCTGAATATGGACAATGAAGGTTAGGATCACGGCTGAAAAATATAACATGGAATCAACCACGGAAGTTGATATGAATTGACTTTCTGTGCAAAAAATATGTAAAAAAAAAAAAATACATACACGTAAATATCTAAATTTTAAATTCTTTATTTTATCAGCCATGATCAATTATATTAGTGTTATATGTGAGCACTGGTGCATTAGATAAGTACCATTCTTCAACTCATATATCATAACATTCAACGCAATCATTAGTACATGGTATCCCCAACGAACACCTAACTCATTTGAGCAAACGCAATTCCACACACTATCAGGGTCCAGCCATGCAATACATCACCATATATGGGCAAATAGGTCAAAGGGTAAAGTTCAAAGTTCAAAGGGTAAGAATATAGGTCAAAGAAGTAGCATCAGCCTGTTGTTACCTTGGATGGGTCCTTGAAGAAAAGAAGAAAGTGACTGGTCATTAATTAGGGCAATGTTATGTGCAGCTGTAAGACGCGCTGTGCAGAAATAGTGAACAAAGGTCAACTACTTTGAGACGGAATAAAAAAGTTAAAGTTTTTCAAAGATAATGTGCAATTAATTTTACTTTGTTATTTTTTTGTTTTGTAGACAAGTAAGTTAAAATTTACAGGCAATGAAAAAGCTAAAAGAAAAATTATTAAGCAAACTAGGAACTTCTGTGAAATGCAAATATCAACAAATTCATTTAGGCTTCAGATTTGGACACCTGAAAAGGAAATTTGTGATAAAAAAAACAAACAAAACTACAACAAATCTCTACTCATAGACAAATTAAAAAAAATAAACTGCTGCTTCTATAAATTCTCTTTTGGAACTTTTTCATAAAGATTTCCAGAATAGAAGCTGATTCTATAATTGTCTACATAAATGGAGTTGGATCAACAAAGATTTCTAATGTTTTAAGATTCCAGAGAGTTACCACAATTTATGTTAACTAATATAAAACAAAGCAAACTGTAAAGTCCCATTGTGTCCAGTTACCTGAACCAAGTAATAGTAGTGTGTGGCATCCTTTAGCTCCAACTCTGCCATTTGTTGTTTGGTCATGCCTGCCAGCATGCAGTAGAATATGTGGTAGTTCCTTTCATCATGGGCCTGGAAGGTCAAGGTGAAGGTCAAGTAAGGTCAAGGTCAACATGACAAGGTGATAGTCAATAGAAAAAAAACTTGCTCAAAATGAGGTTATGATCAAATGAAGTTGATGTAAACTTGTTAATGCATATTCTCAAGTTACAGTGGTATGGTTAGCAATTTCAAGCAGATATATTCTGGCAAAAATACACAAATAAAAGAAATAATACACAAATAACAAAAATAAGGATTTCCTATCAAAAAATAACCATTATTACAGTCCTGTTGTTCACCTGATTGACAATCCTAGATTTCTCCAGTAAATACTGTTCTATCTTGGCACCTTCTATAGAGCCTTTGCTGTTGAAGTGAATGTCTATGTACTTGCCAAAGCGACTAGAGTTGTCATTACGTATTGTCTTGGCATTTCCAAAGGCTGCAACGATAAATTATGATTTGATTTAGTGTCTTTCTATCATAATGACATATATGTTGCTACCTGTAAAGTCAGGCATATTTTTTTTTGTAAAACCTAGATCAGACATCACTTATATATATCCTTCTGTTCATTGAATTTGTTTCAAAATTCCGTTTTTTTTTCTTCAACACAAAATTTATAGCAATAATTAATATTATGATAATTACACAATGGCAATTAACTGCCATTTCTTGCTATCAGTAATTCTGATAAAGTCTTTCAAGCACCAACTATTTCTAAAAATGTAAATGTACATGTACATGCATGCATGTTCACATTCCCACCTATGCTATGAGTAAAATACCTTCCATAATAGGGTTAGCCTCCAGAATCTGTTGCTCTATCCAAGAGTGCTGACCACTGACTGCGGCCAGAAACTGAAGGATTAACTTGGTACTCTCTGTTTTACCAGCACCAGACTCTCCACTGGAATAGTTACAATGTGCATTGTTTTAATTATTTATATTTTAAAATTTTGAGTTTTTTGTGAGAACATATTTGAGGGAAAGGTTTGATGAGGATCAGGTGGGAGAGGGAGGAGAGAGTAAAAGATGTATATTGGAGAAAAATATCAAAAATGACCCCATTGAATCAAATGGACATGATATGTTATCAATCCTTAATTCCCTTTTTTTCTTCTATTCAGTAAAGAACTTCCTGTTGAACACTCAGTAACTTTGATAATTACTTTAATCAACAGCTTACATTCCCTTTTTTTCTGACAAAATTATTCACCATAACCTTTGTATTTTGCACCATATGGTACTATAATGGCAAAAAAAACATTCTTTCTTTCCTTTTTAATCAATTACTTATTTTGTCTATTTCTTTCTCTCTCTCTCTCTCTCTGTGTGTGTGTGTGTGTGTGTGTGTGTGTGTGTGTGTGTTCTCACCTGATAATCACACACTGGTCATGCCTATATCTCATCATACTGTGGTAAGCATTGTCTCCTATAGCAAATATATGTGGTGGCAGTTCTCCTATCTTCCTGTCCCTGTATGCCTTGATCTGTTCACTGTGGTAGATAGGGAGTACTTGGTAGGGGTTTACAGCTACCAGGATAGAACCTGTGTATGTCTGGAGATAAAAATGAGACTTTTGTATAGTATTAGCATTATAATATTAGATGAATATATGTTGGAATTTTAGAAGCACCTGGTAGGGATTCACTGCTACCATGAAAGAACCTGTGTATGGCTGGAGAGAGAGAAATAGTATTTCTGTGTTTTACTATAATTGGAATATGTGATTATATTGATTGGAATCATGGAATCAATTCAATGCCATAAGATGGAATCTTGTGTTAGCATGTAAACAAATGTGAATAGGACAGAAACAATCTGAAAATTGAGGCTAAGAAAGTCATAATTGTGCTGTGCACCATTAGAAAAATATGGGAGAAGGATTTGATATTTTGCACCAAGAGGTAACGAATCACCTTTCCCTCAAATCTGAAAATAAGTTGTGTACTTCAATTACCAGGACAAGAAATATGGACAAAATGTAAATTTATTTTCGTTATTTTTTAGACTGTTACCTAGTCAAGTAGATGTTTAATTTCCTTACCAAGATTAAATAAGTGATGTCATTGATTATAAGATGTCCGTAGAGAATTTCAAATTACATGACATGGATAACAATTTTTTGTTTAGCATTCCATTAGTGTAATTGCAAAAAAAAAGGTACTGTTGACATTAAAACAGTGCTACTGTATAAATAGCACTACTAGTATTTCCACATCTAAACCTGATAGCAGCTATAACATTCATTATCACAAAAGATTGCCTAAATTGGATTCTAATCACTTAATTAGATGAAGGAGGCCTGATCGGTCAATTTCATCAGATTATATATCACAAACACTGATCCCAGTAGCTGAATCACTATGCTATAGCTCTAACCTAATGCTCTTATCCACTTATGCCAATTAGGATAAGACAAAGTGGTTCAATTGTCTCAAGTACATGTTACAACATCAGTGCACAGCTTTAATGCGGTGATTGTGTATCAGACAGATATCAAGGTTATCGAAGCAATGAAATTTAATAATCTCAAGCACTGGCTAAAGCATCATTCTGTAACATTACTGCTGGAATTGTACATCTCAGAACTGGGTCTGGGTTTTAGCCAGCAATGTCAATGGTGGATTTTTTTTTTGATAAACGTAGACCTTTCACCATGAAACTTTCTGTAACTTCCTTGTTACTAGATCACTTGTACCCAGAGTGGACCTTTCATGTCAAAATGGGTGGCTTGTCATACCCCCCCCCCCCCCCCCCGGCCTATAGGCCTGCACCCAGACTGGACTCAATGACCCGGTCAGTGAAATGACCCTGGGACCACACCCCCTTCCGTGACCAGTCTGGACCCAGTCATTAAGTCACCTGCCACTGCCCCGGGGTCACATCTCTTGGTCAGCTGGTACCAGGGCACCTGACCTCTGTACTAGTAATTATATATCACACCGTATGGTCTCAGAGGTGAGAGTACTGGTTATCAAGACTTGACTGCACTTATAAAGCTTGGCTGCATTTTAAGTATATTGTAAATGTGCATTCTATTCTCCTTTCAAGCAATATTTCTTCATTTATAATCATAGGAACAAGTCTGCAATGTAATTATCTTTTATGTGTTATATTAATGAACCCACATATTCCTGGTCATAAAAAGTACACTTGATCAAGTACTCAAATCTGTACACGTAAAATTGTATTCAAGGACAAATCCAATTATATAAAACCATGTAGAAATCAATTCCCTATAATACCAGATATAAAATGTCCACGTATTATGTTGCCCTGAGGAGAACATCAATGTTCACAGGATATAATAAATCAGCCCCAGGGGTTATAGACAATGAAATAGGCGGGGAGAGGAGGAAGGGGAGGGGAAGGGGAGGGATGTAGTGATTTGTGGGTGGAGAAGGGGGGGGCATGGGATATAAATTGGTAATATGGGCAGTGGAGGGGGGGGGGTGAATGGAGAGGGACGGGGGAGGGCAGGGGTTGGATATAGTGACATATGGGAGAGGGAGGGGCACAAGACTGAAATTGGTGATATGGATAACTGAAGGGTAGGGGGAAAAGTGGAGGGAAGGGGGGGAGGCAGGGGCAATCTATAACACCACTGAATATTCTCTTCAATTTCACTTTTGAGGAGGAATATTACTCTGAAATTATGCAGTTAATTTTTAGTGGGTGGGACTAAGTGTTATCATACAACACAAATATCTATATCAAATATATCCTTATCATTCAGACAGTCAATCAAATCCACCAGTCAGTTCATTCTCTCCAGGCATTTAGTGCAAGCCTGATGAATGACATCCAACCAGATGGTTATTCCATGCAGTCATTACAACCATCTTATTAAATATTAATCTGAATTTTTCTACACACCAAAAGATATCCAGGGCATCAGCAGTGAAGATCTAAATAGTTATCCCGTTTATATCATTCTGCATGGGCAAACACATCCTTATGGTGAATATCTATTATCTATTAGTGCTGAATATAATCTTTGTGTTGAACTCAGCAGAGCATGATAAAGCTGTTGCTCCTAAGTAATCTTCTATATATGTTTAAGCAAAGTGCCTTTGTAGGAAGACTGGGGAATCCTTGAAATTCTATACACCTGAATTCACAAGTAGAAAGGACAGAAATTCCTTTCTATTCTAACAAGGCAAAAAAAAAGGGAAAGATATCAAATTTTCTAGCAAATGAAAAAAAGAACCATCCTCTTTAAAGAGCTATAATGCTGTAAAAGGTGAATTTTTTAGTTCATAATAAAAATACCTCTTCCTTACATTTTTCAACATTTAATAAGCCAGTTCCACACTGAACAATAAGCTTTCTTAGATCTGCACTAATCAACCCATTCTTGTGGCTTCAAAACAGAAACCATTTAAAACTGCACTGTGTACCTTTTTGCATGCTGAAACACTTTAAATGCTTTGGCTGTCTTAAAAGTTGTCAAACCTTGTTCACATTAAATTGGCAATAGTGTAGATTTGAGACATGATTTTGGGTTGTAAGAAAAAAGTAGGAAGAAATAGCTTGGTGGCCTTACTGCAGAAATATAGAAAACCAACAAGAAAAAAAAAATCAGACATTCAATTTGAATTGAAACAAATTGTCATATTAAAAGTAATGGGAACCACAGTTAAAATGCATACTTACATATATCATATTTTGCTGATATCTTGTGAACAGGTTTCTAAGAATGGCCTCTTCGTGAAGGTCACCAAGGGCAATCATGTCTTCAACGCCTTCCACCGATGTCGCGTGCATGTGACGGACTTTCTGTCCTGCTTTAATCCAGTGTTCCTAATAAGATAATGAGATAATTGTTTTAATCCAGTGTTCCTAATAAGATAATGAGATAATTGTCAATTAAGTATGAAGTAATAAAATTAATATTTAGAGTTGCACTACATGCCTGATACACACATTGGGTTTTGATGCATGTATTCATCAAACCATATTTTGCCAAGTTGAGAAAAAAATTTTTTAACAATTTCACTCCCTTACGAGAAACTATCACTGATTCACAACAATTTTATTCTTTTATCTTGTCCCAGGCATGCTAAAAATATACAAATCTGTTGTTTCATGCTGCATACTCCATACAACTCGGACATTTTGGCACCAAAAAATTTGTCAGCATTGTGCAAAAATTTGAGTTGGACAAAGTTCACAATATTCCCACTAACACCCAAGGAAATATTCCCAGAAATTTCAAGAAACTTTCCTCGATACCAACCCAGGTTTCCCTGAATTTCATACGGGTGCAAATCCTGCACCTCTGCATGCAGCCATGCTTGGAGTCGTACTCAAACAAACATGGCGCAAAAAGTTCCTTTTCTTTGGATTTCCGCGGTTTTGGCAGAGGGGGTTTCCCATGGGGTCCCGGCTGCCAGTCCATTGGCATGCGAAACATGGTGAGGCGAGGGTTTCAGCTGACCTCAAGATGAAAGCTAGTGGGTAGATACTATACAGGACAAGACAGGAAGTTGAATGGGGAATGTTTTGTCTTTTGGCCACCAATAATGGTATCTACTAGTACATGGCCCATACATTTCATGAAAACTGAACACTTGTTTCCCCAGTTCTGTGGGCAGGGCTGGGGGTGTTTTAAATAAAAGTCCGCTCTGCATCAAAATTTGATCTGGGATTTATTCCATTTCTCAAGGTTCACTTATTTTTAAGATGAGAACTCTCCCTTTTGAAATAGCTGGCAACAAGTCTGTTGCCCCTTTTATGTGGCAAGGACTAGTAAAATTTCACTGCATAGATCCTTCTAGATGATATGTGACATATTAGTTTGGTATAAAAAAAACTGTCCACATCCAAGGCAATCCAGGATAAAGGCAAGTGATCTCAATCTTGAACTAGGCAAAGTCACTGTTTAAATTATTTTCAAAGTGTTAATTCTTTCTTGAAGGGCACTGAATGAATTCCTAAACTACGATGGATAGAAGTTGACATAAATTGTATGCACATCCATCCAGCATAACTTCTGTTAAAATGGTGACCAAATTTGAGGAACAGCTATAAGAATTCCTCTGACGTTGCCTCTTCCAGCTTTCCAGGTAGATAAAAATTGCTCAGAATGAGTTCCTGGGATAATTTCTCTTCTAATAGCTTACACTCCACGAAATCCTGCTGAAATAATCCATCCTTGTGTTAACAGTATCCAAACTGTTTCCAAACCAAATGCCCTCAGACTTTTGGGATTACAAGTACATCCAAGAAAAAAAAAGTCTCTTGACTTCTTTCAACAGCTTCCAGTTCAAGTTCTTAGGAAAGAGTGACCTCTCTCCGTTGCACAAAATATATATTCCAAGTAATCTTGTTTGGGACTGCCCCAGGGGAGCGAGAAAAAGCTATTGCCATGGAAACGAATTTGGAGATTGCATGTCCCCCACCAGCTTCGTTCTAGCTGGTGACTGTAGTCAAGAAACTAGCACTTTTGATAACAGCGGATATTAATTAACATCCCAGAACTTGGGGGAATTCAACAAGTTTCTACAGTTTTTTAATCACACCTTGGCAATCACCATTTGGAGATACACTGGACCATGCAAGTGAATTAATCTGTTCCTAATTTTATTTTTTTTACTGAGAGAAAAAACTGCCATGAAGTATATACAGATCTTTGTGATACTTTTAACATCATGGTTATATTGGAGTTGACAAGTCTGACCAACATTTTATGATGAAAGTATTCAGGTCAGGATGCAAGGAGACACCTACTCAACAGGTAGGTAAATTATCTGTTCTAGTTTTAACATGCAACATATAGAGTACCAATAATTCCGAGAATAATATCTTCATCATTCAAGTGATGAAATAATGTGAACAGTAGAGAAGTCTCAAGCATATCAATGAGTTCCAGGAACCTGACACATATTATAATGTTTGGCCAGTGGCTTTATCTCCCCTCTTCTCAAACCCACTCAAATCAAAACTAAATTATCTCCCTTCTTTCCAAACCCACTCAAAACAAAACTAAATAATGAGTTTTTAAGTGTCTTGTGTAATTTTTAAGATCATTACAGACTAGTTGATATTACAGCCATAATTCTTCCAAGAACAGCAATTAAATCTGTAAGCACTGATGCCCTCTGCTGCCCTTTAATGGAGAATGCTGCGTAAGTTGTCACCCTGGTTGACAAATGTCACCTGTATCACCTAGTTGACATCCGCCTAGGTACAAGTAAGTGGAGAGCAAACTGCTGGTTATTAGGTCTTGTAGCTTGGTATCTCCTCTCCTTTTAACATATGAGCAAAATTTTTTTTTTTTTTTTGCTCTAAGGTTTTAATTACGCTTGTAAGTAAGGTCTGGTTTAAAGCAAGCAGCATGGTTGATGAGGCAAACAAACGCTAGTCAGGTTCGAGCCTTTTTAACTACCAAAAAGTCCGAAAATTAGCCAATAGTCTGAAAAATCTCACAACTGCCAATGATACATGTATCTTAGATCCCAAAAAGCCAGAAATCTGCCACTGGTTGAAAATATCTCATCCCAGACTGGTAACATACCTCTTCTTTAAAAACTAAGAGTGAATTCAAAAACAAAAACACACTGTCATTTCTTCACTGTCAACAAAACCGTTGCCCTCACCTTGCCATCGTCGTCCACGACACAAATCTTCCCCGAGTCCGAAATGCGTACAACTGCCCCCACCGCCACCTCAAACTCCCCCTTGGTCTTAGGGTCTGGGTCCAACCAGATGTGGTCTCCCTGGGGAGAATAATAATAATAATAGAAGTAATAATAACAAATACAACAACAAGTATTAATTATACTAATTTTTTTAGCTAGCACTAAATGTGCTTACTAGAAAATTCATAGGCTCTAGAACTATTGTGTAACTATATTAATGTACATTTTAAGACCTGTTCTACATGATGTAAAAGACATGAGGTAAAGGTTATTACGTTAATATGAAGTTCCATAATGTGCAGTTTAATCCCTGCACAAGCTTACTGGTAATTAAGTGTATTTGGTACTTTTATTCCATCATTATCAATTCAATTATCACTAAAATTTTATTTGATTTACGAGTTATTACAGTAAGTTGGACATGCATGAAATGCGTCATGTTTTAATTTATGATTTATGGTCCAACCAGTAATAAATATGTAAGATTACAACATGGTATGATAAAAACTGTATTATTACCATATGCTGTGGTAAAAATGAAATGGGCAAGTTATGAAGTGTATGAGAGAGAGAAAGAGAAAGAGAGAGAAAAACTCAGACAGCTGGAATTTAAAATGAGAACATCAATGAAAAAAGCTCAAAGGCAATCCTGACCCTGAACAAGAAATCATAACCTAATTCAACACAACCTTGAATAAGATATCAATTAATTACAGTCCAAAGATCAATAAAGCATTAAAAAAACATTACCGACGGTTCTTGCAAAATAACGAGACATTCTCTCTCAATCATTCATAGCATCACACTACAGTGTTAAACAGTGCTGATCTTAACCCAACATCAGTTAATTGGAATCAATAAAATTTAAAGTCATTCCATAAGATCACATATGGGAGCAATTATACTGATAAATTGCACACTATAAGTCACAAACTATCCATTTTCTATAGTGAAAAACAAATATCTTTATAGTAAGTTTGTTGAATGACAAGAACTGACATTTTTGAAACACGGCTACTAGTAACCAAATGCAAATATAAATACCACCAAATGCAAACACAAATCATAACAGGACATTTCAAGTATTTAAATCGACACAAAACACGGTCCTCACCTTTGCTAAAATCACCATCTTTGTGGGTCACCCCTTGTGAATCGTCCTTTGCAATGTGAAGTCGTCCTCAACGTTCTAAAGGCATAGTTCTCCTTTCTGTAAAGCAGAAACGTAAATATTACTCTTACATAAGACACGCTTTACAAATGAAACATATCTGTGTTCTTTCGTGTGATTGTAACTGGGTTTTTCTTTTAGGTGAGTAGCTGTAATGAAATAAAATATGCAGAAAAGAGAGAGAAGGAGGGGTATTACTTTCCACAGTGCTGGCTCTTTTAATTATCATTGCAGCTGCAGTATAAATCATATGGTTAATTTCTTTCGCTTGCAATTTTAATTAAAGTGTAGGGGAGGAAGGGGGGG